TACGTGATCATTTCCTTCTACAGTACTGATTACTTTGAGTCCAGTGACTAACTCCTTTCTATTGGTTTGGATTGAGTCTGGGATTGCCAGTATCCTTGTTCTTTCCTTTTCCTTTTGAAAAAAATTATGTTCAAATCACATAATTCTAAAAGTCAAACATCTCCTGTCTACACCATTTACAAGCTAGTCATTCCTTTTTAGTATCTTTCTGTCTCTGCTTAGTTGTCTGCCCTTCACTGGCAGAATTGATGAGAATACCACCTGTGCCTTAAAACTCCTTCTTTCAGTTTCTGGCAAAGCTTCATAGCCATAGGTGAACTGTTCAAAAATGTTCTTGGCTGCGTTTTTGGTACTTACTTGAATAAGGAGAAAGGATCTGTGTTTTTGATGAGTTTGGCACATTGTCAGTGACATCCTAGATTCGTATGCCAGCAAGATAACACACTTCCTGATTCATCTTGTCAGCCTGGCATACTGGTGCCTCTATACTTCTGAGCAATTAATCCCTAATCACCAGTACCTTTCTTTTCTTCTTGTCTTTGGTGGGTTACCTTGACCCCTTCCTTGACATGAGGTTTTCTTTGTTGCTGGTTTCCTGTTTGAGTGTTTTTACTGCTGCTATGCTGCTAAAGGTTTATTTGGAGGGGTTTTGTGCGATCTTTTTTTGACAGTGACTTTTGTCTGGGGTGGGTTTTTTTAACTGTTACATGCCTTTCCAGTTTCACTGGAAGTTTCCTACTGTTGGTTTTATATTATCAGTTCTTACTTTGTTTTATCAGGAAGTTGTCCTGTTCTCTGATGCATTGAAGACATGCAACACATATCTGTAGTGCACTGACCTTTGCTTCCAAGAGAGCTACCAGTTTGCACTTGCTACATATGTAGTTGGTGATGCTTCCTGCAAAGAAAACAAACATTGTATGTATATTGCAGCAGACAATGAAATTATATACCCTCCCTCCCCGATCAAATCTGAATAGAGATTCATTGCTCCTCAGTTTTTTCCATATTCATTTAGACTTTGTTCAGAGCCAACTCAACTTACCGTATATACTCGAGTGTAAGCAGACCCGAATATAAACCGAGGCACCTAATTTTACCACAAAAACTGGGAAAATGTATTGACTCAAGTATAAACCTAGGGTGGGAAATACAGCAGCTACTGGTCAGTTTCAAAATAAAAACAGATACCAATAAAATTACATTAATTGAGGCATCAGAAGGTTAAATGTTTTTGAATATTTACATAACACTGTAATTTAAAATAAGACTGTCCAACTCTGATTCTAACTTTCTTCAAGATAAATGTGCTTATGTATCCTTCCAGTAAGAATAAAGAGAGTAACATAATGTAATAATAATAATAATAATAGAGTAAAATAATGGAAATGTAATAACAGTAATAATAGAGTAAAATAATAAATGTAATAATGATCCCAATGATCCCATAGCACTTTGTCCTCCAAAGCACTTTACATTTTTAGGTCTGCTCGTATGTCCTTCCACAAACGCCACTATCACCTTTTCGTCCATGCTTCAACACTATTTCGAATTTTAATTTTACATTTGGCCTTCCCATAGTTTTAATTGTATGTTGTCTTATTGATAATGTTGTATGTTATTGTCCATGTTCTTTATTTTAATTGCTTGTATTGTTGTGTTTGGGCTCGGCCTCATGTAAGCCGCACCGAGTCCCTTGGGGAGATGGTAGCGGGGTACAAATAAAGTATTATTATTATTATTATTATTATTATAACAATAATAAATAGAGTCAAATAATACATGTAATAATAACATTAATAAAGTAAAATAATAATGTAATAATAATTGAGTAAAATAATAAATGCAATAATAATAATAATAATAGTAAAATAATACATGTAATAAAAATAATAATAACAGGGTAAAATATTAAATAACATTGACCCGAGTATAAGCCGAGAGGAACTTTTTCAGCCTATAAAAACGGCTGAAAAATAACATACAAAACAGCTATGTACTTAAGCAAAACAGTACATCTGAGAACCTCATATGTAGGGCTGATTGGGGTAAATTGTAGGGGTGATAATGAAATATGATGGTGTATATACTCACCTTGATCAGTTGATCAGTTTTATCATGTCTTATCATATTTATTTACTGTATTGTTATAAGTGTCTTATTTTAACTTACTACGTGGAGTGTGATCGGGTCTTGTCAGGCCTTGTTGTTCTGTTTCTTATTGTGATATGGCCTAAGGGCTAATCAATAAAAATTACTACTACTGAAAAACTAGGCTTATACTCGAGTATATACAGTAATTGTTCCAGGGCTGCCTCAGCATCACCTCCAGAGTAGGTTCCTGTCAGTATCCATTGTCCTCCTGGTGACAGGAGTCAAACTGGTGAAGATAACTTTTGCAGCGCCAAGGTTGCCTTCGCCTTCTTGTTCTCTGACACTGCTGCTGGAGTGCCATTATCATCATTGCTGCTTGCTCACTGCCACTACTGCCACTCTGTGTTGTTGGTCTCTGATGTCCATCACTGCATAGCTGCCTCTTCATGTTCCTCCGTCTTCTTGCATCCAAGGTGGCTCTTGCCACTTACTATGGATCCTTCTGCCCCTGTAGTTATTTCCTTCCTCTTCTTTTCTTCTCTATATTGATTCTCAGTTTTTCCTGTATTGCTTGAAGCCTTTTCCCAAGACAGCTTCATCTTTCACGTGAAGTTTAGCAGTATCAACCCAATTGTTCCAGGGTTGCTTCAGTATTGCTTTTAGGGTCGTAGAGACTTGCACTTCTTAACGGTTGCCATTGCCATGCTGTATTTGCACTGGCACTTGTTATACCCTAGGAAGGGATTTCTTTGCAAACATGGAGTCAGGGAAAAAAGTAGATGAAAAGATGTTGGCCCCAACTGTTGATTCTTTGAATTGGTCGCCAACCTCTTGCTGTCACCATTTGCCTGGCCCTGAATTTCCTGTTTCCATCCTTCCATACTTCTCACCAGCTAACTGCCACCATGTGAACTCCTTTGCTGATTGTAAACTCATGCTTAAATTCAAGGCTGAGCCAGTCTTTTGAGTCGAGGACACATAACAACAACCAGCAGTGCTTGATGAGATTCACTCAAAAAAGAAAAGAAAAAATGAACAAGGACTAATTTCCTAGTAGTTGTTTTGCCTTGTCTGAGTTTTATATGACCTTGGCAACTTGGTTGCCCCAAGTCCAGAAAGTGTTTCAGGCCTCAGATTTAGCGGATATCCTGTTCATGTGACACACACACACACTTTTTGGGTTAAATACTGATTCTATAGTATTGTGGTAAATGGTTTCTTTTTCTGCTCTACCTCCCTGTCTTTTTATCCATTTACCACAATACTGTAGAATCAGTATTTAACCCAAAAAGGGTGTTTTTAAAGATGATACATTTTCAGTTATAAAATTAGTGTATATAGTAGAGGGCTCCCAGAAATGTTAAGAAAAAGAAAGTTAATTAACATACTCTTTGCTTGTTTATCTTTTCAGTCCCATATGGATAGGGACATGCTCTTAAAGTTAAAGGCTTGTAGAAAATAATGTTTCCAGTAGAAACTGTTGTTATGTAAACCATACTAGGCATATGTATAGGCATAATACTGTGAGATTCTTAATTACTGGTAAAACGTCATAGACGGCATGCTCTTTCCATATTTTCTTTGTTATTTTAATGCTGGTAATGTGGTAATATTGTTCTCCTGGATCCAGGCCCGTAGCCAGGATTTCGTTTCAGGGGGGCTGAATTTTTTTTCAGGGGGAGTTTTGGGGGGGGCTGAGTTTGGGGGGGGGGGCTGAGTCTGAGTGAAAGAGGGTCTAGCCTAGCAAACCTTTTGCATCATTACCCCAATACCCCCATGCATATGGGATATATTGAGTATGGTGATCAGATCATGATATGAATAAACATAGTTTAAATAATGCACCAGTAAGGCCTTTTCGCGAACCACCATGAAAATTTCGGGGGGGGGGGCTGAAGCCCCCCGAGCCCCCCCCCCCCCCCCGGCTACATGCCTGCCTGGATCCATATTTTTTGCCCAGATTTGCAATCCCTTCTCCAGTCTTCTCCCCTTGTGCACCCTCCAAAATTTGCTTTGGTGGGTTGAGAAACTCTAAAGCAGGATATTGTTTTTACTATATCATTAAATCTTCATGTCCTGAATAAAATTAGGTTAGTCATGATTGATGCCTGGTGCTTACTGACCCTCTTCCTTGGGAAGGGGTACTGCAAAAGCTTTGGTTTGCATTGTGAAAGCTTCCTATGCCATTCTGGGTCAATAAATAAAATGGTAGACAGTCTTTATACAAAAGCCAGCACGCTTACTAAAATGTTAACAAATTATCTTTTATTTTGTCTTTGTAGCAGACATATTTAAGGACAGATCTTCCAGTCCTTCCTCGTCCTCCTTTCCCCCTCTCCTCTCTTTGCCTCCCTTTCCAATCTCCCTACTGCCTCACTCTCTCCACACACATTCCTTACAGTCACCCAGTTGATTGTGATCACAGTCTTCTGAATCTTGCTTCCTTGCAGGCTCACATATCTTTCCTTTGATGTAAGGGTGGATATTTTATTTTCTGTAAGGGTGGTGTCCTCCTTACTTCTCATAGTCTTATGGTGCCACTGAAGAATATCATCTCAACATAAACTCAGTCCATACTTCAGGAAATAAAGCCTGACTGCTCATTGGAGGGAAGGATATTAGAGGCAAGATTAAGTACTTTGGCCACATAATGAGAAGACAGGAAATCACAAGAAGACAATGATGCTGGGGAAAAAGGAAGGAAAAAGGAAGAGGGGCCAACCAAGGGCAAATTGGATGGTATCCTTGAAGTGACTGGCTTGACTCTGAAGGAGCTGGGGGTGGCAATGGCTGACAGGGAGCTCTGACATGGGCTGGTCCATGAGGTCACGAAGAGTCGGAAGTGAATGAACAAATAAACAACAACAAAAATAAACTCATCTGTTTTTATATTTTTGATTTAACAGGAACAGATGTCTCAGGTATTAGATGCCATGTTTGAAAAATCGGTTGAAGGAGGGGAGCATGTCATTGATCAAGGTGATGATGGTGACAACTTCTATGTAATTGACTGGTAAGTAATTTGTATATACAGACAGTCCCCAAGTTAAACAAAAGATAGGTTCTGGAAGTTTGTTCTTAACTTGAATTTGTATATAAGTTAGAACAGATAAATTTTAAGTGTAACTCCAGCCACACACACATACACACATGTGCGCACATTCTCTCACACAAATATGTAGGCTTTGGTTAGCATAGGGAAGGGTTAACAATTCTGGGGTGTTTCTTTTGCTGGTTGTGTCCCTGTTGAGAAGGTTCCACCTCACTTTCTGTCCCTGTGATAACTGAATTTTGAACATTTTAGGTTGTTGTGGAAACAAGGATTGATGATAAACTTCAGTGGAGAAACCTTTTCCCCATGATAACTCTGTCAGGAGTGAATTTCCCTTCTTAGGGGTAGAGTTCTCTTACTTCCTGTTGTCTCACCTCCATTCTTAACTATGAGTTGTATGTAAGTTGGATGTTTGTAACCTGGGGACTGTATAAATAATGGTTCAGAGCAGGGCTGAGGTTGCAGCATCACATAGGATGGGATCTACATTAGTGGTAGCATTACTATCTGTGAATGACATAAATCCAATGGAAAAGAAATATTGTGTATGAAAATATAGTGGGCTCAATTTGTTGAAATTCAATTAATTGCATTTAGATGCTTAAGAATAATTAGTTTTACTAAAACTTGCTCTAGAGCAGTGTTTCCCATCCTTCCTATTGCCGGGTCCCCTTAATACAGTTCCTCATGTTGTGGTGACCTCTAACCATAACATTATTTTTGTTGCTACTTCATAACTGTAATTTTGCTACTGTTATGAATTGTAATGTAAATATCTGATATGCAGGATGTATTTTAATTCACTGGACCAAATTTGGCACAAATACTTGATACATCCAAATTTGAATACTGGTGGGTTGTGGGGGGGGAGGGGTTATTTTGTCATTTGGGAGTTGTAGTTGCTGGGATTTATAGTTAACTTACAATCAAAGTGCATTCTCAACTCCACCAACGATGGAATTGAACCAAACTTGGCACACAGAACTCCCATGACCAATAGAAAATACAGGAAGGGTTTGGTGGTCATTGACCTTGAGGTTTGGAATTGTAGCTCACCTACATGTAGAGAGCACTGTGGGCTCAAACAATTATAGATCTGGACCAAATTTAGCACGAATACTCAATATGCCCAAATGTGAACACTGGTGGAGTTTGGGGAAATTGGACCTTCACATTTGGGAGTTGTAGTTCTGGGATTTATAGTTCAATCAAGGAGCATTCTGAAACCCACCAAGGATAGAATTGGGCCAAATTTTCCACACAGAATCCCCATGGCTTGAAGGGACTTGTTGTCGTGAGCCTCTCTTCAACCTCACATGCTCTCCATTGCCAACACATGTGCACCATGCTGCCTTGCATCAGGCATGCCTGCTCTCCCCTTCCCACTTGGAGTCCCAGAAACAGACCTGCCCTTGGCTGAGAGACCGGCCAATCACAGCAGAGGAAGGTTTTTGCTGGTGGGATTGCTGTCTGTTTCCAAAAAGGAAGAGAAAGACAGGTGGAGAGATCTTCAGCTTTCTCTGCCAAAGGGGTTCCTAAGACCATCAGAAATAAATGTTTTCTGATGGTCTTTAGCGGCCCCTCTGATACCCCCTCATGACCCCCTAGGGGTCCCAACCCCTAGGTTGAGAAGCACTGCTCTAGAGGCTTTTCTCTTCATATTTAATTAATAATAATTATGGTATAATTAGAGTGTTTCAGAGAAAACCCAATAGTCACTTCATGTGAAGTAATCTTCCAAATCCCTCACTGAATTAAACTAAATGATACTGTGTTTTCATATCACTAATTTTATTTGATTTTTTAATATATATATATATATATATTAAAATATTTTTTATTTCCACTCTACATCTGTAGATTTTGGAACATCGTATTCATATTTGGTTTCAATTGGATTATATAATTTATCAAAGCTATTTTATAATGCCTTTCTACAGTGTTTCAGTTATTGTAAGGTTTGCAGATTCACCCATCTCTAACTTAAGAATTTGTCCTAGAATCATCTTGATTCTAAAAACGTAGAAGGATGGAGTTATCATCAAGAAAAGGCCACAAAAACAATTGAAAAGTGATTTAAACAACTTTAATCAGATCAGCAGAAATAAAAAGGCTTGGGCTAAGAGGAAGATGTGATTGCTGAGCCCCAAAAAGTTTTAATATGGTTCCAAGATGAGACCAATGTGCATGTCAGTTTAAGATGTATTTATTTTCTTTTTCCTTAATTCTTTTTATCTGAGATGCCACATTCATGGAAGTTATTTACTTTTAACCTAGATATTACATATTTTAAAAGATGGCATATCAATTCCTTATGCACTTTGTATGTCTTACAGGGGGACATATGATATCTATGTAAAATGTGAGGGTGTTGGACGGTGTGTTGGCACCTATGACAACCGAGGGAGCTTTGGTGAATTGGCTTTAATGTACAATACACCTAGAGCAGCTACAATCATTGCTACCTCTCCTGGTGCTGTGTGGGGCTTGGTAAGTACCTTGCCATCAGATCGAGTTTGCTCTTGACATCTGAATATTAAATAAACAATTTTTACAAAGACATAAGAGTCGAACATAGGGCACAATACATCATGTATTTCAGTTTCTCTTAAAATCATTTGGTTGTCTTTGGGCGTTTTCCTGCTATTTTCTTCATTTAGATCTTTCAATGAAGAATTATTTGATTAAGCTGATTATCTTTATAATTATTAAGTTGATTCAGTTTATTATTAGTGTAGTAAACAAAACATCATAAACTGATGTATGGATAAAAACAAAAATTCTAAAACATTTTTTGAGATTTAGAATATATCTCTGTGTCCTAGTAGGTTAGGGTCTTATAAGAGATATTTTTAATATGTGAAATAAATACAAATATTTTAAAAACACGTGAAATAAATACAAATATGTTGAAGACATGTTGCCTGTGTGTTAACTGTTTAGTCAGTGTTATGATTTCAATACAGTTGTCTAACCAATTCATCAATGAAGGCTAAAATCTTACACATGCCTTGCTGGGAGCAAGTTCAACTGAACATATTGAACTTGTTATTTTTCTTAGAAGATGTTCATAGGAATGAACTACAAATGTTATAGGTCTGATTAGTAGGTGGTTGCATTATTTTGAACTTGATGCTTTTTACAGATTTAAAAAGCAAATAGATTAATATTAGCATGAATTATCTCTGTTTATGGAGCCCCTGGTGGCGCAATGGGTTAAACCCTTGTGGCGGCAGGACTTCTGACTGAAAGATCGGTGGCTTGAATCTGAGTAGCAGGGTGAGCTGCTGTCTGTCAGCTCCAGCTTCTCAAGCGGGGACATGAGAGAAGCCTCCCACAGGATGGTAAAACATCCGGGCATCCCCTGGGCAAAGTCCTTGCAGACGGCCAGTTGTCTTACACCAGAAGTGACATGTAGTTTTTCAAGTTGCTCCTGACACAAAAAAACCCACTTCAATTTCTTATGGTAATGGAAAGTATCCAGAAGTGTATTTCTGTCTCAAATACAAGACAACTGGGATTGCCTTCCTTTTGTGAACCTCTATGGCATCAAAAAACCCCTCTCTGGTTTTCTCCGTTCCAAAAGCCATTGGGGTGGGTGGGTGGGGGGATGTGTACTGGATCTTTCAGGGCTGAAAACTTCCATGATCCCCATGGAAGCTGAAGGATCCAAAAGATGTATACAATGGAATCCAGGCTGTTCAGTTCAGAATGTTCTATCCAGCAAATTGCTATGCACACGCTCATGCACATTATACACTTCAAATTTTGATACTGTTTCACTTTTCCTTTTACAGGACAGGGTAACATTTCGAAGAATTATTGTTAAAAATAATGCCAAAAAGAGAAGAATGTATGAAAGCTTTATTGAGTCATTGCCCTTCCTTAAATCTTTAGAGGTAAGTTGACTTACTGATTTTTCAGAAATTTTAATGTCATTGCTCCATATAGCTCAGGGGTGGAAACATTGTGACCTTTGGACTGCATTTACTCTCTGCTCAAGCCTTCATAGCTGATAGTGAGGCATGTTGAAAGGTGCAGTCCATCAAAAACTAAAATTTGTCTACTCCTACTTAATAATAGTAATAATAATAATAATAATAATAATAATAATAATAATAATAATCTTTATTTATACCCCACCACCATCTCCCCCAATGGGGACTCGGGGCGGCTTACATGAGGCCAAGCCTGAACAACAGATTACAATAAAATAAGATACAAATTGCAATAAAATAAACAACATAGCATTAAAGTATAAAGCATATAAGCATATAAACAATACACACAAAACAACTTTAGGTTTAGTGTAGTATGTGTAAACAAACGAGTGCTATGTTTGTCTTTGTAGACCATATATTCCAGTCCTGTTATTTCACCTACACTATTTTCCTCATATTGCACTTTCTTCCACCATATCGAAAGTCTAATTCCACTTTTCAGTCCCCTACGAGCTCCTCCCCCCAAAATATACCTTTTTCATTGCTATCTCATCCAGAGTTTTATCATTTTATGTTGTGCATTTGGCCCGCCCACTGTGTTTGATTTCTCATTATGTTATTTTGTACTCTTTATTTTACTTGATTGGTTTATTTTATTGTTATGCCATTTTGTTGTTTATATTTTATGTTGCTGTAATGTATCACTGGGCTTGGCCTCATGTAAGCCTCTCCGAGTGCCCTCTGGGGAGATGGTGGCGGGGTATAAATAAAGTTTATTATTATTATTATGTTTTTAATAGGTTTTTCTTAATATCATGTTCATATGAGAAATTGCAGCGCTCACCTACTGAGGACAATTGTGATGTTTAATGCTGTGACTTTCTTAAATTAGTCTCCAGTTTTCTTCCTTAGTAAAATATCCTCCCCTATTCACAACACTTCAAGGTGATATCGATGTAAAGTGATCCCCAGTCACCTCCATCCTTCCATGCTCTCACCTTCCAACAGCCCACTAAACTTTTGTTACATGTACAATACAAAACAATTATATGTAATTGTTGTTGTTGTTGTTGTTGTTGTTGTTACTACCTGCCTCTCCTCAGGCTGGAAAATTTCTTCTGAGAAGGGCATCAACAACTCTCGGTGCTAAATGTTAGTTCCCCCTCTCCACCCATTTTTGAAGCTTTTTCTTTGCCCTATTTAAGTAAATTGAGATATTCCTGCTTTCATCTGAATAGAGAAGAAAAGTTTCATTATTTATTTATTTATTTATTTATTTATTTCGAACATTTTTACCCCACCCTTCTCAACCCCAAGGGGGGCTCAGGGCGGCTTCCAATAGGAGGGAGTAATAGTGTGGTACATGCCCCAACATGCCTGAATAGTACATTACACTGTTCTTGGCATCCCATAATTCAAGTAGAGTAGTTGAGCAGAAAGGTTCCAGCAATCTGTCACCACAGGTCTGACCAGTCCACAAACAATGGTGTTAGAAGCACATATGTGTTTGTCATTAATTTGAAATTAATTGTGGTGAGTATGCAGGTATGTCAGCATAATATGTCTTCTCTTTTGTTCAAGCTATCTGAAAGGCTGAAAGTGGTTGACGTGATAGGTACCAAAATCTACAAAGATGGAGAACAAATTATTGCTCAGGTATATCATATATGCTTTCATCAGTTACTGTCTAGATGTAAATAAGTCTGTTGTTCTGAATTTGCATGTGAACAGTTTGTAGAAGTCTGCATTGGTAAAGGAGCAACTGTAAACTTGGGTGTGGGTAGCATACAGTTCTCTAGATATTATTGCGTTGCAACCAAGGACCATGCTGGGAAATGGTAGCCTAACAGCATGTGGAGGGTTGTACAGGTTTTGCCCATGTCCTAAGACTGAGAATTGGGGTTAAAAAAATTCTATGTGCTCTGTTTGAATTAGACTTCCCAATGAGAAATAAAATTCTGGGTGGTTAATACAAGCTAATGTGAATGACAGGTCCTCAAACTTTTTAAACAGAGGGCCAGATCACAGGTCCTCAAACTGTTGGAGGGCCGGATTATAATTTGAAAAAAACATGAATGAATTCCTATGCACACTGCACATATCTTATTTGTAGTGCAAAAAAACCCACTTAAAAACAATACAATAATTAAAATGATGAGCAATTTTAACAAATATAAACTTATTAGTATTTCAATGGGAAGTGGGAGCCTGCTTTTGGCTGATGAGATAGGATTGTTGTTGTTGTTGTGTGCTTTCAAGTTGTTTCAGACTTGAGTTAACCCTGAGGAAGGGCCGGGTAAATGACCTTGGAGGGCCATATCTGGCCCCTGGGTCTTAGTTTGAGGACCCCTGAATTAACCAATAAACAAATTATTAGAGGAACATCCCTTTACCATGTAATGTAAATACATTACCATGAAAGGATGTCCCTTTACCATATAATGAACAATTTGAAATTTTTTTATTCTTCTGTTTATTTTTGAAAATATGTAACTTGGTTAGCAAAAGCTTGATTTATTTATTTAGATTTCACTTTTTTCCCGTGTGGCTAAAATTGTACGGTAAAACAAAATGAGTTTACGCAGGGCTCCTTTTTTGTTCTTTGTAACCTTTTTAGACTTTTGTACTACTGAACCAGTTTGGCTTTTCTCTTTAGCATCTACTTTCTAAGAGAAAGTAAGTTCCCCTCCAAATTCTTGCTTACGTAAGTACTGGCTGCAAAGGGTTTTAAGTATAGGGTTTTAAGTACAGGCTGCAAAATACAGGCTTTAAGTCAGCTACTTTTTCTGGTAAGTTACAGGGCTCTGCTGTCGTGTTTGAAGTTATCCACAAGAGTGGATTTACTGTTAGGGAGATACTGCTGAATGTCAGTCTTGCGTACCGACTCCTCTCTCTGCTTTCTTTTTGTGCATGACAGAAATAAATCTGTTTTTTATTTTTCAGCTAACCTCAGTTCTTTGTGATACCTGAACTGTGGTTTATTCTCTTAACAAACCAGGATAACCAAATTGTGACTCAAAAAGACCATAGTTAATCTCAGGAGGAACATGTTATCTTCCAGTGGAGTTCCCATAAGCCATTGGATATGCTGTCTAAGAGTGTTGGGAATTGCAGGCCAATAAGATTGGAAGGCCTCATTTTCCCCATTGATGGTTTAATATTCTGTATGAGCCATGCTACTGTCTCTAGTGGCTGCAGCTGCTTCATCTCACTGCTGTTGCCCTTTGAAATGTATTCTTTCTTTATTCTGAACAGGATGGAGAAAATAAAACATCTTTTTTTTTTCTTGGCATAGTCCTTGAAAATAGTTAGCAAACAAATCTGTAGAGAAGGCACTGCTGCTTTTCATCCTGTGCCTGTTTAGTTTTTATGGCACCTAAGAAAATATTAAGACAATTCTCAGTGAGAACGCTCTGGATAGAAGCCTTCCGGATTAGTTTCGAATAGCTTAAACTTTGGCAAACTGCTACTTTCCCCCAAAGTAATATTTCAAGGTTGTCTGAAAGCTATCCATCTATTGATCAAGCAATTTCCATATAGATTGAGTACCCTTTAGTCAAAATGCTTTGTACCTGAAGTGTTTTGAAATTCAGATTTATTTTCCAATTTTGGAATACGTGTATTTTTATATACTTCCATAATAAGAGAGATCTTAGAAATGAGATCCAAGTCGAAACATGAAATTAATTTATATTTAATATACACCTTTCACACACAACCTAAAGGTAATTTTTGTGTGATGTTTTTAATTATTTTGTTCATAAAATAAAATTTACGTACATTGAACTATCAAAAAGCAAAGGTTTCACGAGCTCAGACACCCATATGGGCAGTTTTGGATTTTGGGGTATTTTTGGATTTCGGAATTTCAGATAAGGGATGGTCAACCTATATTATGTCAGATAGTAACAATCTCAGAGTATGATTAATTATTTCTCATTTCATAGGATGTGGAAGCTGCTCAGTTTATGAAAAAAAGGGAGAAGGATAATTTCCCACTAATCTTTTTGTTTGTTTGTTTGTTTGTTTGAAATTATTTGTGTGCTTATAAGGAAACTAACATAGAACATATAATAACTTTATTAATTCATGTTTCTGCTCTCTTTTTTGAAAGGGAGATATGGCCGACTGTTTCTTTATCATTGAATCTGGAGAAGTGAAAATTACCATGAAAAGAAAGGTAGACTGTGTATTGATGTAACACTGATAAATGTTGACATTTTATGACATTTTATGTCTTGACATTTTAATGATACAGAAAAATCTCAATTTATATTGAGATTCTCTTTTTAGATTCACAACATGAATTGGAACTGATGTAAAAGAGAGACATTGTACATTTGAAATGTTGTAAATTAGAGCAACACAAGTTGTGATTCAAGTTGAGTGCTTATCACCAAATAAACAATATCAGCTTGGTTTTAAGTCTTTGTTTGGTATATACGATGCTATTTGATTTTTAATTATTTCCATTCTCTTAGGGTAAACAGGATGTAGATGAAAATGAAGCTGTTGAAATTACCCGATACACTAGAGGGCAATATTTTGGAGAACTTGCTCTTGTAACTAACAAACCTCGAGCTGCCTCAGCGTTTGCACTTGGCACAGTCAAGTGTTTAGGTAATTAAAAGCAATTGTGTGTATGTATTGTTGTCTTTCCTAGTGCGAAAAATAGCACTAATTCTCTGTGTAGGCCTCTGTACTACTCTCACATTTTAAAGCCAGATTTAGCTTCATTGGTTGCACTGAGTTTGAGATGGTATTATGTTGATGTAGGGTTTTAATATTTACGGTGTACATCAGGAATGGAAATTGGACTTCATCTTTTATATCTGTTAGGGCTGATAAAACTGCATTTCAGTTACGACATTCAAATGTTAGTCTCAAGAATAAGCTTATTAAATTGGTGGGAATATGGCAAGTTAATACTTACTAAAACAATTGCATTTCAACCATAGTTCCCACAAAACATGGTTATCCCACAAAACATTTGTATTTGGAAACTGGACTGCAGATCCCAGTATTCTTCACATTTTATACCAGTTAGAGGTGATGTAACAGCACTTCAGTTACTAAATTCAAATGTTAGTCCCACCGAGAATAAGCCTGTTAAATTGCTTGAAAAATGGCAAGTTAATACTAACAATTGCATTTTTTTACTTAATCATACCACCTATGCTGAATATATACCTAGCTCCAAAGATAAGTTAAATGTACGTGTATTCAAAGATAAAGTATTTGAACTGAAGTGACAGAAATGAGGGTGCAATTATAAATTAGATTTTCTTCCTTTTAATAAAAAAAACCTGTTATACTTTTAGAGATACATTAGGGAAAGGAGTATCGGTAACATTCTGACATTTTAATTAGCATCCTTGTTACTATGGATCCTGAAAGCTTTGGAAACTAGCATAGATCCAAAAGTCTCAGTACTTTAAATGCTTTTGAACATGCACAAAAATCCTCTGTGGATTCATCTAAATCAGTATTTGGATTAGGTAGCCCTTCAGATATGGTGAGATTGCTGCTATTAGTTTTGCATAGTATTGTTGCTGGGACCTAAAGTCCAAAAATGTCTGGACGGCTGCATGTTTCCAGTTTTTGTTCTAGAACAAGCCTTCTTAAACTTCCTAATTTTTCCCTTTTTGCTCCAGAAAGTTTTACACAATCCTGAGTATATAGGTACCCCATAAAATAGGTATAGAAATCAGACATTTACTGATACTCAATCATAAAGAATTTTGTTTTTTAAAAAATATTTGGTATGCATATAACTTTACCATTTATTAAAGATGAAAACCAGTTTGCATACTATTGTTTATTTTTACATAGAGAATTAAATATTGGCAGAATATTTGATACTGCAGGAAGTAAAACATCTTCAACGTTTTTCATGCCATACTGGCATGTTTGGTCTGCAGCCCCAAGTGGCAGAATATCCACTATTGGCTCTCTTTTTTTCTCCTGGATTCATGTAAATGTCTAAAACAGCCACTAGGTGGCAAGCTACACAATTTTGTCAGGATGCCCAGGTTCAGGTAGGGGACCCCAAATGGGGTTGCAACCCACAGTTTAAGAAGCTTTGCTCTAGAGCAGTGGTTCCCAACCTGTGGGTGCACAGGTGTTTTGGCCTACAAGTCCCAGAAATCCCAGCTATTAGGATTTCAGGGAGTTGAAGGCCAAAATATCTGGAGACTCACAAGTTGAGAACTACTTCTCTAGAGCGGTGCTTATGAAACTCTTGGGGTACTCTCCGCTTCTTTTTCACAGTGTGCCTAATAAGGGTATCATACTTGTGCCAATTTATTTTATGGAAATTACCTGTGGATCAGGAGTCAATAGCTCATGGACTAGCACTAATATGTGCATCACCACTTTGAGTAACATGGCTCTAAGGACCTCATCACACTAGAGAATGAATCAACTTTCAATCCAGTTGCTGATTCCTGCAGAATTCTGGAGTTTGTAGTTTAGGGATGAGCCTTTAACAGCTTCACTAGACTACAAACCCCAGAATTCTGCAGAAGTCAGAAACCGGATTTAAAGTGGATTCATTCTCTAGTGCAGGGATTCTCAACCTGTGGGTCCCCAGGTGTTTTGGCCTTCAACTCCCAGAAATCCAAACAGCTGGTAAACTGGCTGGGATTTCTGGGAGTTGTAGGCCAAAACACCTGGCGACCCACAGGTTGAGAAGCACTGCTCTAGTGTGATGAAGTGGTAAAAGGTCTCTCGATATTTTGTGAAAAACTTTTTGAGAAAGCATAGTACAGAGAAAGAGGAACCAGCCTAGTAGACTAGCAGGACATTTGTTGCTGTTTTAGATTCTCACTTCTCTTTTTAACCATGCTGACTAAATATGGGCTGCCTTACAACCTTTACTGCTATAATTTAGTATCTGGCAAGATAAATGTTATATTTCTCTCAGTGCAAAATACATATTCATTCATTTTCTCTCTCTCCCTCTCTCTTTCTCTCTTAAAAATTTAGTTATGGATGTACAGGCATTTGAAAGGCTTTTGGGACCTTGTATGGAAATTATGAAAAGGAACATTGCGAATTACGAAGAACAGCTAGTTGCTCTGTTTGGAACAAACATGGACATTGCTGATCCTAGTGCATGAAGTAAAGTATGAAACCACAAGATCTGTTTATGAGAAATAGCACAGTAGTGGTTAGTCCACTGAAAATGTGTCTATCTTCCTGTAGATGCTAAGCATTTTTCTGTGATTTTACAGGGAACTGGGTTTCTTTGTGTTTCCCCCTCAATTTTTATTTGCCTTTTTGTACACAGTATTTCAGATGTATCAATACATGGAGTAGAGACATCATAGCATCTACCTTACCTTGAAGAAAACTCGTTCCACCAACCCCTGAGCTTTTGGGTAACAGTCCTAAATATCAATCCTAAAAACTTTTATTGAAGTTCAGTGAGTACCCTTCATTCAGTTTTAGTATTATAACCCTTTGGGACCTCGAAAAAAAAGACATGCCTTCTATCATTACAAACATTTTCTTTTACAAAATCCTGGATTGTAATCCAAACAATGTGTGCATATCGGCGTGATTATTATTATTATTATTATTATTATTATTATTATTATTATTATTATTTTCTCTTTCCTGATTCTGAAGTTTTCACCTGTGCAAAACAGCCCTCCCAAATTCCTGATCTGCTTTGGAGGTAACTTATTTTGTAGCACAGGACATGGGTTACGTTCAGGAGTGTTCTGCTTTCGCTGCATATGTCTGTGTAATCCTTGGGATTGCAGGATACTTGTTGATGAAATCTGTTCCTAGCTGATTAATAGTAATGGCTTCTGTAAAATCTGAAGACAAATGGAGTAAGTTGATGTCAGTGGGGTATTTGCCACTGATAAAAAGTCAGGATTGTGTCCATGTGTCAAATAAATGTGGTATATTGAGAGTATTCGTGCACCTAGTGCTCACAAGTATCTAGTGAAGATGTTTACAAAATACATCTGGTTTCCTGGATATTTGAAATTAAATCTGGATAAGTTAAGGTGAATTTATAGAAGTTGCATTTTTTTAAAAATCCCCAAATTTAAAGCATGGCCTTGTGTTCTTTATAACTTTTATGACCTAAATCTGGTCTTAGGTTTTACAAATGTTTATTTTTTAAAATGATTCAAACTAAGATATCACATTTCACTTCTGTTTGTATGAAACATACTCCAACATCTTGCAAAACTTGGTTTGTGTTTTTATGGAATATGCTTATTTTTGTTGTTAAATTTATTGAGTTTGTATTATTTTGATTATATTCACTCATTAGAAGAATGGAAAAAGTTAACTTTAGATCAAGGAAGAGTAACTTCCCATAGGCCATTGTTACAGTCTATTTGCATATCAAGTGCATAGATATAGCTTTCAAAGCAATCTTGATTCTGATATACTGAGATTACAGATTGACTGACTAATCCACAAATTAGGATTAGTAAAATAAATTCCTTGGATTAGGAGTATCCATTTTGTTGGTAGTTCTTATAGCCCTTTGTTTTAAATATTGTTATCTTTCTTCTCTGAAGGTATTTTCCCTCGATTCGCCATAAGTGGGCACCCTATCTTTTACTCATCGGTATTTTATTAATGTGAATAGTGTTTTAAATCACTGCACCTAAAATCTGATGTGATCCTAACATGGAATATAGCACTGCCAGCTTTTACTGTTAATGTTCTGGTTTTCAATAGACCATAAAAAGGAACTTCTAAAGTAGAGTCACAGAGGGTACCTAGATAGGCAACCAACTATATACCTACCTGTCCATATGAAAGCACAACCACATCTGGATTTATTTTTTGCCACTGTAGTCAGATAATACCAAAATTTAAGTAAGTGAATTCAAAACAATAATATTGAAACAGAGCACCAGTTAAAAAAAAATAGTGTAGTCTTCCTTGTTGACAGAGTTGTCAGAAAAGTATTTGGCCTTTTTATGACATCTCTTCCTTTAGCATAAAATTCTGCTGTTTCGACAGTTGTGGCATAGAGTGAATTATTGCCTCTTGGAATTGAGAACAAAGTATTGTCTAATGTCTATATATGATAATATAACTATATTTCTTTATTTTTATTTATTGCCTCTCAGGCTACCAAAGCCCACGGGATAGTGTCCAGTGGGCATCTAAATACACAGTTAGTGATTGCTACAAATTATAAACTTATAGTAGGAACCTGTTATTGTAAATCAATATTATTAGTCCCTTGTTTGGAATGCTGAAATCCAAAACAGTCCAAATGAGTGGCTGAGATAGTGACACCTTTGCTTTCTGATGGCTCAGTGTAAACATAAAATTTGTTTCATGCACCAGTTAGTAAAAATAGTGTATAAATTCATGTTCAGACTTGGGTCCCATTTCCAAGATATCATAGTATGTACATATATGCAAATACAAGTGTTCAAAACACCTGTAGTTCCAAACATTTTTGGATAAGTTATAGTGACCATACACTATGGTATAAAATAAAAGATGACATGTAATTTCTTTCACATATTCTTCCTGATAAAGGCCCAAATCTAATTTCTTAATTAACTTAAACTCTTTAAATCAATATAATTTTCTTAAGTGTAATTGATAGGTCATTCACCAGTTGATTCTATGGTTCTGTGCTGGATATAGGAATCATGTAGCCTTCCCAATATTGTTAAGATTATAATTCCTAGCAACTCTAAATCAACATAGCAAATTGTAGCACATGCTTGGAAATGCAGTTCAAAAACACAGGGAGGAATATAATTCTCATTGATCGTTTACTCTCATTGATCGTTTACTAGCAAGTGAGTTTAGGCTGAGATTATTTTGGATCAGTAAGGATACAGTGTTATGCAGTGGAGAGAAAATCAGGTAGAGGACTCTGTGGCTTGCACCCAGAGGACTCTGCCAGATGTTTCACATGCTGAAAGAGAGCTTTGGGGTTGATTTTTTTGAATGAAGGCTAACTCACCGCCCATGGTGAACATGTGAATCAAGAGACTTCAAAGAACATAGTGATGTGGCATGGTGAATTTTTCCTTCAGTGAAAAAAAATAAATTCCACACTGAAAGATACTCTTTGCTTCCTGGCCCACAACCTTTTGGATTTTTAACTGAGGAGGGCTATGTGTTATGTTAAGTGTTATGTAGAGGAATGATGATGTGATTTACACGTGTGACAAAAACTTCCAATCAAAGCCAAAAATAGTTAGTTTGTAATGGTGTTTGTTTAAAATTATTTATACCAAGGCATTAACCCTTCTTTAGAATTGCAATTAATATTAGGCCTGCAGTTCTCATCGGCACACTTCCAATACATGAACATTAGCATGTTTCAACGTTGTTTTTGCTTATGAGGTTTGTACAAAGTGTGTTGCCAGGATTTTAGCTCTTCCCACTATGATCTTTTAGTAAATATGAAAGCAATCTGTAATGGGAAGATTCATTCAAACTGATCGAGTGTAGCTTCTTACTGTTGGATATCCTGCATTCTATTTGTGAAAAGAAGGCAAGATATAATTCTAATACAGTGGGTCTTTTGTATCCTCTGGGATTTGGTTCCAGAACATCCCATGGATACCAACATCAAGTCCCACTATATACAGTGATGTAGCAAAATGGCATCCCTTACATCAAAAGACAAAATTGACAATACGGTAATTAAACTTGGATGGATTGTAGCCATAAAGTAATTAGCTTTATTTACATTATTTACACAAAGCTCAACGCAGCACAGAGCAAGTACGTCTCCTCAGGCAGAGTCATCTCAGCAAGATGGCGATTACAGTCTTCTCCTTATCAGTAATAGCATGCCTCTCAAACAGTTTTATGATGACCAAAGTCTGGTGTCATCAGAGGAAACAGGAAAACACACTGTCCTTCTAGGACAAACTCAAATCTCTGTGGTCTGTTAACTCTACACATGCTAGGCAGCTTTTACAAACACATGACCACAGCTTTAAAAACATACACTTTGAAATCTTCCAATAAATCAAACACATCTCAAGGCTTGCTTTTTGGATTTTTTAAAAATATTCCAAGCCTTGGATGGTTGAACTTGTGGATGTAGAATCTGAAGATACAGAGGGCCCGACTGTATATAATCAGTGCAAAAGTGTATGTAAGGGAACAGTCCCAATAGTTGAGTAGTGTCAGACTTGTGGTCCTCCAGATATTTGGGCTTCCAACTCTCAGAAGCCATAGCCAGCTTGTTCAATAGCCAGGAATGCTGGGAGATGAAGTCTAAAACACCTGAAGGGCCACAAGTTTGCAACCACTGCAAAAGCTGGTACCCTTCAATAAAATTCTTTTGTTTGTATGCAACAGACAATCAGCAAGGTATAATGAGTTTTGGCAGTAGCAGTTCCTTGCTAGGTAGGGCCCACAAAATGTGTACAAGGAGAGTGTCTTTCATTGTGTGCATTTGGCTGTCCATTGTTTAATTAATTTATATTTATATTGCCTTCGAAGCCCAAGGCAATGAACAAAAAAAAAACCCAACTAAAAGATTTTTAAAAATTCAAAAACATATTAAAACACATTTTGAAAAACTCTGAAAAGCAGTCTTAGAATCCAGTTTAAAAGAAGTTGAAATAGCAATTTCAGACATTGTGTTGTTCCCGAGCAAGAGGGCTTGCACACCTTGTTACACCATGGAATCAAACCTGTGCTGGTCCTCCAGTGCGCAAGTTCCCCATGTTAACCAGCTGTTTCCCAGATATAAGCAACATAATATTAATTGTCAATCAAGGAAACCTGGTAAAATATCTAGCTCATCCATGAAACTAAATGTTATCACTAGATGCAACTAGGATAAATAAAAATGGTAACTTGAGAACACAAGTGGGGAGAAATAACATTTTCCATGTCTAGAGATATCTTAACTTCGTATGAAGGGGTAATATCACATTAGAGAAAGTGGCACAAAAGCATTTTTAAAAAAAGACTTCATTTCATATATACTTGCTTATATGAAAAAGGAACATATTTATTTGCATTTTTAAAATAGGATGCCTGTGCATGTAGAAAACGTGTATATAACGTGTGTGGGGAATGGGATTGTGTTGCACCCTTGGCTATGCCTAGCACACTCCCAAGGTCATGTTGCAACCAGTTGTTGGATCATATGTTAGCACAGATTCTTCTTTATTGTCTTTACCCTTGAAATTAAGGGTTAAATATCACATGGGTTGGATTTATGTAGATTTCAGTGACATAAGTTAGGATCCACGGCAATATATGGAAGTGAGTGGGGAGGGGTGGGAACAGCTTGTACATGCTTTTTCGATAAACATGAATAGGATCAACCAGTTATATAATCTGAATGGAGAAAGTGGAAGAGACATAGTTGGATGCTACTGTGCATACTTGGCATGCAGAAGTTTTAATCAACTCCTTGAGTTAAAGGAATCTCAGGCAGAGTTACCATAGATGTCTCCCTAAAATTCTTGAGTATCACTGCCAGAGCTGGCTTTCTTGGACTAGGATAGATGGACCAACAGTCCAATTTGACAGGCAGCTTAATATATTAAGATGTAATGGCTACTCTTGTGCCACATTTCTTTGAAGAACTTCGCTAAAGCCTAAACCAAGACATCTTCCGCCATTATCCCAATATCTTTCTGTTTAGAATTGTCTTTTAGTGGTCAGGGTTTAAATGCTGTATTTAAAATTAATGGGATTTACGAGATATTTTGATATGTATGTGTGTGCTTTTTCATATATTTTTTCTTTTGTTTGAAAGCTTTGTAATATGCCCTACACTCTTTGGATAGAGCAGAATTTTTTTTAATGAGCATTAAATTAAGGATACATAGTCTGCCCCACCCTTTTACAAGAAATTTGTGTATCACTTCCTTTTCCTGAATGTTAATGTTCTGTCTTTTTACTGATGCCTCTTTTTTATGGTACCTATCAGTTGGTGAAGATTTACAATGTACAAAATTAATAAATAATTTTGAATATAGAATATTGTGAGTCAGTATTTGTTTTGCTTGATCAGTTCAAACAAGTCATACATTTGCTGTCATGTAGCAGATTAAGGAGCCTCCAGTAGCGCAGTGGGTTAAAGCACTGAACTGCTGAACTTGTTGACCAAAAGGAAGCAGGTTCGAATTTGGGGAGCGGCATGAACTCCCACTGTCAGCCCCAGCTTCTGCCAACCTAGCATGCAAATGTGAGTAGATGAATTGGTACAGCTCCGGCAGGAAGGTAATGGCGCTCCATGCAGTCATGCCGGCTACATGACCTTGGAGGTGTCTATGGACAATGCCGGCTCTTCGGCTTAGAAATGGAGATGAGCACCAACCCCAAGAGTCAGACACGATGGGGAAAACTTTTACCTTTACTTAAGATAACAGGTTTAAATACCATACTGTGATTGTGGTGCTTATAGTCTATATTTCTTTGATTCTAAGACGCCATTGATTTTCAGATGCCAAACTAATTTTAGTACCACCAAGAGAAAAAGCTTTATTTACATATACAAAAAAGCACCCATGATTCTAAGACACGCCCCATTTTTTGAGATGTTTACATGGGTGGAAAACCATGTTGTGGAATCAAAGAAATAGAGTACCACATTTCTTCAGTTGTAAGATGCAATCCATTGTAAGATGCACCCTAATTTCCGTACCACTATCAACAACAACAAAAAATACATAAGATAATTCTATGACTCTAAGATGTACCTCATTTTAGAGATGTTTATATAGGGAAAAAGTGCATCTTAGAATTGAAGAACTACGTAATTGAGACTCTGGCACTCCCTCTTCTGGAAAATATTGTTATAGCTGATCGAGTTAAATAAAGATGTCCTAAAATGTCTTGGGAATAAAAAGCCCATCTGGAATTGTTCTCCTGATTTAAAGGATGCTTAAGGTCACCATCTAAATATATGACTTTAAAATATTTAGATGCCTTACATTCAGATTGCCTTACATTCAGATAACATAAATATTAACAGCGTTAACTGGTGAGCCATCTAGTAAGAAGGTTTAAAATGTATATTTGTCATATCCCAGATAACAAAGAGTCTTGAAATCACTTTTGTGACGAGGTACCAAGTTGTTAAGCAACCGTGAGGCCCCGAAGGCAGGGAATTGTCTCTTGAGCCTGTCAAAGCTTCTCATTCCAGTTGGTCTCATCCATGTGGGCCTATCCCATATGATTTGTCTCTACATACACTGCAATTCTTAGATGAAAAAGACCTTCAAGATTGATTCCAATACTAAACATGTATGAAATTATGTAAAATACACAAGGTGCTCAGCTATGTCTCTTCTGAACCAATGTAATAATGAATGAGATCAATATTTCCTTATATTTTCACTATTTATGTTGTTAACTAAAACGATTAAACCAGTGGTTCTCAACCTATGGGTCCCCAGATGTTTTGGCCTTCAACTCCCAGAAATTCTTACACATGGTAAACTGGCTGGGATTTCTGGGAGTTGTAGGCTAAAACATCTGGGGACCCACAGGTTGAGAACCACTGGGTTAAACATTTAATCAGTAAGTGTAACAATGAATAAATACCAACAAAACAAATGTCTCCAACTTGGTTTAAATGATTCATATTCATCCTGGAGAAAATATCTGGGCAACTTCCTTCTTAGGGTTAATATGATAGATTCATCCACACTAAATGTATTTCATTGCACAGCCCTATATGCAGTTAGGTTCTCTGGATTAATAACTCATACAATATGCATTTACATTGTCTAGAAATGTTATCTGCTCAGTTATCTTACTCCCAAGTGCTAAATTGGTCAGAAACAATATGGCAATCCAGTTTTATTTTGTGATGCGAGGCCCTTATTTCAGTTACTTAGAGTGCATATGTGGAAATGAAGAAATCTGCTTAATGCATTGCCTTGCAGAGATGTTCTTCACTTTTTGACTTTTCCAGATTTTGTTATGTTACAACCTGGAATGGAAAGGTACTGAATTGAAATTGTTACCATTTGATGCATATTGATTAAATACAGTGGGAAGGTTTTAAACTTTTATGATGGAACAAAACAAAATGACGTGTTGCTTGCAGAAATAGTTGGAAAAAAGCATATTTGGCAGTAAAGGCAGTCAACATTTCTTGGATAAGATTCTACACAACACTGTTCTTCTTCTAGGCAAAATAAGCCCAGTCCTTCGCAGTTACATGGAGACTATTGGTGGACATTCACTTTCAAGTCTTGCCACAGATTCTCCATCAGATTGGTATCAGGACTTGGCCTGAGCCACTGTGAGGCATTCGAGTTACTTCTCTGTTGTGCATCCTCCTGGCCATTGACCTGCTGGAAGATCAATGCTGTGTTCCAGGCACAGGTACTACGTTAAAAAAGAGGGTCCTCTATAAGCATTTGGCCCCATCCATCTTGCCATCAATGGTGGGGTTGGTCTTCTCAGCGCAATGAGATCTCTCTCCATGAACCAGCCCGAGCTCTTAGATCCTCAGGGGAGGCTCTCCTTTTGCCCTTGCCATTATCACAGGCTCGTCTTGTAAGCACAAGGGAGAGAGCCTTCTCCTTTGGCCCCCCAATTCTGGAACTCATTGCCCGGTGAGATTAGGAAGGCCCCCACCTTGGAAACTTTCAAGAGGGATCTCAAAACCTGGCGCTTTTGGAGAGTAGCCATATTATCACATACAGTTGCTCCTCCTCAACGGTTTTTGTCCCCAGTGTATATTTACTGTGTTTTGTCGAAAGCTTTCATGGCCGGAATCACTGGGTTGTTGTAGGTTTTTTCGGGCTGTATGGCCATGGTCTAGAGGCATTCTCTCCTGACGTTTTGCCTGCACTTTGGCAAGCATCCTCAGAGATAGTGAGGTCTGTTGGAAGTTCCAACCATGGCCATACAGCCCGAAAAAACCTACAACAACCCATTTACTGTGTTGTTATTGTGTTTTGGTTTTACCTTATTGTAATATGCTGTTGAGCTTGGCCTCATGTAAGCCGCCCTGAGTCTCCATTGGGGAGATGGTGGCGGGGTATTTAAAAAGTTTATCATTATTATTATTATTATGAGCAGTGTTGGCTTTTTGCCAAATATAGCAAGGCCAAAAGAAAATCAGATTTGGCCTTGACTGACCAGATAACCTTTTCCATATGCTGTGTGTTTTGTGTGTGTGTGTGGTTTTTTTTTTTTTGCGGGGGGGGGGGGGGGGGGGGTTGTAAATCCCAAACAGACTTTGGCATGGATTTATTTAAGCAATAGCTTTCCTCTTGCCAGTCTTGCATAAATCCCAGCTATGGGGAGCATGAGTGTGATTAGTTGGTGCCCTGTGATGTTTTCTTCCATTTTAGCTGCAAATGTCTGCAACTCCTTACCATTTGCTTCTTGGTTACCTCTATGCCCTTCAAAGGGTTTTCCAATGAGATGCTATTCAGCTGCTTCTGTGATGTCTAAACGTTGTGGATTGCATGACAGCAGGCATGAGCAAACTTTGGCCCTCCAAGTGTTTTGGACTTAAACTCCCACAATTTCTAACAGCCGTCAATCTTTGGCCCTCCAAGTGTTTTGGACTTAAAATCCTACAATTTCTAACAGCTGGCAATCTTTGGCCCTCCAAGTGTTTTGGACTTAAAATCCCACAATTTCTAACAGTCGGCAAACTTTGGCCCTCCAAGTGTTTTGGACTTAAACTCCCACAATTCCTAGCAGCCGGCAGACTGTTAGGAATTGTGGGAGCTGAAATCCAAAACACCTGGAGGGCTAAAGTTTGCCCATGCCTGCACTAGAGTCTATTTAGGTATGTCACAGCAAAGGGGTTTTATACAATACAGTACAATACAATACAATACAATACAATAGTAAAATATAAATGTTTTTGAAATAAGTAAGCGCTAGGGTTGTTACTTACTTAATGATTGTGGCACATTATTTTATAACAGAGTCCCTCTTCGGAGGTCGAGAATAGGACGGGATACAAATGTTCTAAACAAACAAATAAAAATACACATTGATTAGTATCTTGTGAACATCAAGTAGTAGAGAAGCCTGAATGTCGTCTTCAGATGTGCACTATTTCACCATTCACCTCTGACTAGGAACAACTCAACATGACTCACTAGTTAAATAATTAAGTTAAACTTTTCTATAGAAACAACATCATTTTCAAAGTAGGATGGTTAAATTCAGCAAGGTTCTTATTAAAATCAGCTTATTACTTCTACTCTCTCTTCCTCCACAGAAAAAGCATCAAATTAAATTGCCTATGGGAAGCATTCCTGCAAGAAGAAAGGGCATGGAGAACCCTACCCAGAAATGCTGATTGCTTGTTACACATTTTCTTACCACGGTTTCCACTACAATAGTTGCAAAGTGGTGTCTTTTTTTTCTTAATGAAAGGAGCTAATTATACTGGGAATGTAGGATGAAAGGAAAGAGTAGGCCAGCATTCGGTGTGATGAGCTGTGCCTGTCGGGATGGTAACCCTGTTTCCACATCAGCAGCGTTATGAAAGAGTTCCTCATTCGGGCATAACTGGAAGAGCAACATTCATTCAAAGAGAGAAAAGGCAGTAAATCTGAATTGTGGAACAAGAGACAGACGGAGCATGCTTTTCAACCTGGTGTAAACCCAGAGAGCGCCGTGATACTGAGTGAGTGATTCTTTTAAGTTTTTAGCATGGAAATCATGTACAAAGGTAAAGCTTGCTTAGGAAAATTACCAAGAGGCATGGCTTCTCTTAATTACCCCTAATGAGTCACACAGTAAAGAGGAGCTGCAATCTAAGTATTAAATGTGATCCACTGGTATAGATTTTGCCTGAAACCAGGACTATTTTTGAGACTTCTGAATGAGAACCGAATTGAATTAAAATGAGGCAGTGCGGCTAATAGAATCATAGAATCCTAGAGTTGGAAGAGACCTCACATTGATTAGTATCCAGTCCAACCCCTTGCCAAGAAGCAGGAAAATTGCATTAAAAGCACCCCTGACAGATGGCCATCCAGCCTCTGTTTAAAAGCTTCCAAAGAAGGAGCTCTGGGGCAGAGAGTTCCACTGCTGAACGGCTCTCACAGTCAGGAAGTTCTTCCTAATATTCAGATGGAATCTCCTTTCTTGTAGTTTGAAGCCATTGTTCGATGTCCTAGTCTCCAGGGTAGCAGAAAACAAGCTTGCTCCCTCCTCCCTATGACTTCCTCTCATGTATTTATACATGGCTGGACCATAGGGAAGGCTGAGCGAAGGAAGATAGATACTTTTGAACTGTGGTGTTGGAGGAAAGTGCTGAGAGTGCCTTGGACAGCGAGAAGATCCAACTTCAGGAAATAAAGCCCGACTGCTCATTGGAGGGAAGAGGCCAAGATGAAGTACTTTGGCCACATCATGAGAAAAAAGGAAAGCTTAGAGAAGACAATTATGCTGTGGAAAATGGAAGGAAAAAGGAAGAGGGGCCGACCAAGGGCAAGATGGATGGATGGCATCCTTGAAGTGACTGGATTGACCTTGAAGGAGCTGGGGGTGGTGACGGCGGACAGGGAGCTCTAGCGTGGACTGGTCCATGAAGTCACGAAGAATCTGGACGAATGAACAACAACAACAATCATGTCTCCTCTCTGCCTTCTCTTCTTCAGGCTAAACATGCCCAGCTCTTTAAGCTGCTCCTCATAGGGCTTGTTCTCCAGATGTATGCGGTATGTCCCCAAATTTAAAACTATATATCTCCCAGGAAAAGAAGACTGGATTTTAAAGATATTTGATTCTCTGCTTGGATAATCTGGATTATATGGCAGTGTAAAATCATATAATCCTGTTCAAAGCAGATGTGGATTCTCTGCTTTGATGACATGGCTCATATGGCAGTGTAGTCGGACTGCATTTCTGTGTACGAACCCACACAATCTCTTTGCGCTCCCACCTCCTTTGCAGGCGCAATTGGTGGGGACGAGGGAGAGGGCCTTCTTGGTGGTGGCCCCCTGACTCTGGAACTCACTTCCCAAGGACATTAGACATGCTCCAACGCTGGCAGTCTTTAGGAGGAGCCTGAAAACATGGTTGTTCCAGTGTGCCTTCCCAGAATAAGGAAATCTCTCAGCAATGTGCCCTCAAAATGCACTTTACCACTGATTTAGGATTGACTACGTTCCCTCATCTCTCTTTGAAAAAAATCTATCCCAGTTATATCCTACCTTGTTCATACCCAGCATTATATTTTAAATTTTAAATTATTACATTTGGCCCGGCCATAGGTTTTTAAATGCTTGTGTGTTACTGTTATTGTTTATATTTTGTTGATGTGATTTATATTAACTGTTTTGTATTGATTGTTATTGTTATTGCCTTTGTTTACTGATGTACTGTGGGCTTGGCCTCATGTAAGACTCACTGGGTCCCTTGGGGAGATGGTAGTGGGGTATAAATAAAGTATTATTATTATTATTATTATTATTATTATTATTATTATTAGCTGTCCCCTGCCACGCATTGCTGTGGCCTAGTCTGGTGATCTGGAAAATAAAGTAATGAGAAAGTGTTGGTTTCTAATATATGTAATTCCTTTATGCTTGTGGGTAAACAGTATTTCTTGTTGTTTCTTTGTCAGTGTTGATGTGGAGAGTGTCTGGTTTGCCTACTCTGGAACATGCAACATATCATAGTCCTTTAAGGGTCTCTTTCAAATCTATGATACTATATCTGTGTGTGTGTGTGAGAATCATATCTATCTATCTATATTTATGATTGGATGGCTCTTTGTCAGGAGGGCTCTGATTACATTTTCTTGCCCTGGTGAAGAGAGTTGGACTGGATGGCCTTAAGTATTTTCTGTTGGTCATGGGGGTTCTGTGTGGGAAGTCTGCCCCAATTGTGGTGTTGGTGGGGTTTGGAATGCCCTTTGATGGTAGGTGAACTATACATCCCAGTAACGATAACTCCCAAATTTCAGGGTCTATTTCCCCCAAACTCCATCTGTGTTCATATTTGGGCATATGGAATATTCATGCCAAATTTGGTCCAGATCCATCATTGTTTGAGTCTACGGTGCTCTCTGGATGTAGGTGAACTACAACTCCCAAACTCAAGGTCAATGCCCACCAAACCCTTCCAGTGTGTTCTGTTGGTCATGGAAGTCCTGTATGCCATGTTTGGTTCAATTCCATCATTGGTGGAGTTCAGAATGCTCTTTGATTGTAGGTGAACTATAAATCCCAGCAACTACAACTCCCAAATGTCAAGGTCTATTTCCCTTAAACTCCATCTGTGTTCATATTTGGGCATATGGAATATTTGTGCCAAGTTTGGTCCAGATCCATCATTGTTTGTGTCCACGGTGATCTCTAGATGTAGGTGAACTACAACTCCAAAACCAAAGGACACTGGCCACCAAACCCTTCCAGTATTTTCTGTTGGTCATGGGAGCCCTGTGTGCTAAGTTTGGCCCAATTCCATCATTGGTGGGGTTCAGAATGCTCTGTGATTGTAGGTGAACTATAAATCCCAGCAACTACAACTTCCAAATTTGGTGTCGATTCGTCCAGTGGGTTTTGAGTTCTGTTAATCACACAGTGTACATTTTTATTTATATAAGATTATTATTATTATTATTATTATTATTATTATTATTATTATTATTATTATTATTATTATTATTGGAATGGCCTGTTGAGTATTTCTTCCCCGCTTTTTCAAAGAGTTGGGCTGCCATTAAACCTGTCACAAAGGGCTCGTGTTGCGAATACACGTGTGTCGAAGACTCTTGTTTACCAACGACCGAGAGGCTTCTGGGAGTTGTCGTTCCTCAGCTCCGTCTGGAGCGCTTTGTCAAGGAGAACCGAACGACAATTCCCACAAGCCTCTTCGGCTTTGGGAGGCCGGCCCGTTTTCATCTTCGGGCGTCGCAATTGGCTCCGCGTCCTGTCAAATGGACTGCGCGAAGGACATCAAAACAAGGCTGCTGTTAACGGAAAAAAACAGGACAAGCACTTCGAGCATCCAATAAGGAGAGAGGGAAGAGTGACGGACGGTCACGTCAGCCACCCAGAGGCCGAATGCAGCCGAAAGTGGGCGGGCCTGTGGCAAAAGAAGGAAAGACACGGAGGAGGGGGAGGAAAAAAAAACCCGAGGGAATCTTGTAATGGCGACGGGTTTGGTAAGTACCTCAGAAGTTTTCGACCGTGCGCCAGAGTTTTGAGGCTGAGAGGCAGAGATAACTGGGAAGCGCCTTGTTGGAGGCCTGTTTCCCCTCACAGCCTGGGGACTGTCATGTCGCGGGGAGGGAGTGTTGTTGTGGTTCTGTACTTTATGAAGGGAAAGAGAGAGAGAGAGAGAAAGGGGGGCCTCTTTGACGGGGCAAAGGGGCCGAGGAAACGGACCCTCCGGGCGGGAACAACACCTGGAAGAGTTCCTGACAGCTTTTGGGGCGCCTCCCCCTCCCCCACCGCCTTCGCCTGTTGTTGTTACGCACTTCTGAATGAATGGGGGCTTTTCTGCGCATGCGCCGTGCTCGGGGAGGAAAAGTTTATAAACAAGGGCCTCTTCCAGGCACTGAGCACGTGACCGAAGCGGGAGGGAGGGGGACGAGGGAGGGAAAGGTTCGGGGGCGCATGCGCGGGGAAGGAGGAGGCGGAGGAGGAGGAGAGGCGTGGCTTTGCAGTTGCGGGCGCTCTCTCCTCTCCTCCCCCCTCCCTTCGCCGTTTTCTCTTCAGGGAACCAATCAGAACCCGGGCGCTCGTGCAGCTGCGCGTGACTCCGGCCGCCTTCCCTTCCTTTCTTGCTGTGCGCGTGACAGAAACTTGGCTGGCGTTGGTGGAAGGCTGTTTGGCGCTAGAGGGCGCCAGGGAGGCCTGCCTGGCCTTGTCTTTCCCCCTTGTATAATACCAGGAAGTGTTGAAATAACCATAGCTGTATGGTGTTTTTCTCTTGAGGGGAGTTGTGTTACCTTAGTAGGCAAAGGTATTAGGCAAACGTGATAGGCTTTGAAAGGTTATAATGGTGGTTTTATTTATCGTGTCAGAAGCAAATTGAGAATATAGTTATCTATCTTATATAAATAAAAATGTAATGTTCGTTTGTGGGATTATTTATTTATTTATATATTTACATCACTTATATCCCGCCCATATCAGCCCGCAGGCGACTCAGGGTGGTCTACATATCGGCACAATTCGATGCCATCAATACAATACAACAGCAAAAACAATTAAGTGCATTTAGACAAAAAAAAAAAGACAGTGCAATAATAAATTAAAAAGAGCTATATCCTCTCATTCCAATCCTCATCCGTTTCATCGTCTTGGCCGTTCCTGGGTCATTCTCCATCTCAAGCATGACTATCTATTCTGGGGTTCCGAATGCTTGCTAGAAGAGCCAGGTTTTTACTCTCTTCTGAAAAGTCAGGAGGGAGGGGGCTGATCTAATATGCCTAGGCAGGGAGTTCCACAGCCGAGGGGCCACCACAGAGAAGGCCCTGTCCCTCGTCCCCGCCAAGCGTGCTTGCGAAGCAGACGGGATCGAGAGCAGGGCTTCCTCAGATGATCTTAACTTCCTGGAGGGTTCGTAGGAAGAGATGCATTCGGATAGGTAGGCTGGGCCGGAACCGTTTAGGGCTTTATAGGCTAAAGCCAGCACTTTGAATTGAGCCCGGTAGCAAACTGGCAACCAGTGGAGCTGATGCAGCAGAGGAGTTGTGTGCTCCCTGAGCGCCGCTCCTGTTAGCAACCTAACAGAACTCAAAAACCTCTGGATGAATTGACATGAAATTTGGACACAAGACACCTATCAGGCCAACGAATGACCATCACTCATACAAACACTGAAAAACATAGCAGAAGAGACGTAAAAAGTCAAAAAACAAAAAAACACACACACACATTACAATGAAATGTGCAAAACCACATATATACACAAACACACATATATACACATATACCCAAATACACTCATACACACACATATATACACATATACCCAAATATATACACACATAAAACACGTATACACAGACTGGGCACAGCATGCGTGGCAGGGGACAGCTAGTATATAAATAATAATGTAATGTTCGTTTGTGGGATTAACATAACTCTAAAACCACTGGGCGAATTGACACCAAATTTGGACACAAGACACCTATCAGGCCAACAAGTGACCATCACTCATAAAAACACTGAAAAACACAGCAGAAGAGACTTTAAAAGCAAAAAAACAAAATATACATTACAACGCATGCACAAAACCTCATATATATACACAAACACACATATACACAAATACAGGGTGCAGCAGCATAACTTCCTTTTTTAAAATGCGCACCATTCAGTCAATTGAAGACGTAGTGGAGCGCTAGTGGTCTTGTTCGAGAGATGGGAGTATAAAGTTTTGTCCAGACACAGTTTCAGTCGCCATCATGCGTTGGAACAGTGAGGAGCATACTTTTGCCGTTAAGGCCTACTTTTCTAGCTGATTTGGAGTGGCCGGCCTGCTCTCCAGATTTGGCCCCTTGTGATTTTATTCTATGGGGTTTTTTGAAATCCCATGTTTCTGTGAACCGTCCAAGGACCCTACAAGATTTGAAGACCAACAACCAGAAGGAAATTGCCAACGTAACGCCTGCTGTGCTGGCAAGAGTCATGACAAACACCAGAAATCGGTTTACTCAGTGTATGGAGAATGGGGGACGTCACTTACCTAATTTGATCTTCAAAACTTTAGGTATGCGCCTAAATTATATATCTAAAAAATTTCTGATTCATACAATGGGTTTTATTAAGTTTTGAGAAAAGGAAGTTATGCTGCTGCACCCTGTATACACACACATATATACGCATATATACACACACAAAACACATATACACAGACAGGGCCACAGCAATGTGTGGCAGGGGACAGCTAGTCATTCATAAAAACACTGAAAATCACAGTGGAAGAGACTTAAGAAGCCAAAAAATAAAAATTACATTACAACATGTGCATAACCACATACATATACACACAGAAAACACAAAGAAAGACTGGGCCACAGTAACGCGTGACAGAGGACAGCTAGTAAATAATAATAAAATTTATAGCCCACCACCATCTCCCCAAAAGGGACTCGGGGCGGCTTACATGAGGTTGCCTTTGAAGACGGCTCGGAAGCTTCAACTAGTCCAACGCTCGGCAGCCATGATACTAACAGGAGCGGAGCGCAGGGAGCATACCACTCCACTGCTGCCCAGCTCCACTGGCTGCCGATTTGCTACCGGGCTCAATTCAAAGTGCTGGCGTTGGCCTTTAAAGCCCTAAACGGTCTGGCCCAAGCTACCTATCCGAACGTATCTCTGCCTATGAACCCACCAGGACTCTAAGATCTTCTGGGGAGGCCCTGCTCTCGATCCCGCCTGCATCACAGGCACGGCTGGCGGGGACGAGGGACAGGGCCTTTTCTGTGGTGGCCCCTCGGCTGTGGAACGCCCTTCCCATGGAGGTAAGATCAGCTCCCTCGCTAATGGTGTTCCGTAGAAGATTAAAAACTTGGATGTTCGAACAGGCCTTTGGTTAATCAGTGCAATGAATGTGACGATCACAGGGACTGAAATATGGACGACGAATTTTGGATCACGACTCTAGTTATGAGACGCATTGGGTTGTTGCTGTTGTGTAATATTGTATACTGTGCTCTTTTGTTTTGAATTGTATATTGTTGACTGATTTTATCCTGTTGTAAACCGCGTTGAGTCGCTGGTTAGGCTGAGAAACGGCGGTATACAAGTAAAATAAATAAATAAATAAATAAATAATACATTACAGCAAAATAAAAATAACCAGAACAACAGAACCAACATCACAATAAAATAGATAAAACATAGGAATACAGTAAAACAATGCAAAATAATACAATGAGCACAATGAGTGGGCCACATGAACAACGTAAAATGATAAAACTCTGGATGAAATAAAAATGAAAAAGAAATATTTGTAAGGGAGAAGCTTGTAGGAGACGGAGTAGTGGAGACAAGCTTTCATGCAGTATGAGGACAACATTATGGGAGGAGCAACAAAAAAAGAGGTGCATGTTTACTCTCCAAAATGCACAGAAAAGCCATGTTTTTAGATCCTTCTTGAAGGCTGATAAGGTGGGGGCTTGCCTAATTTCAGAATCTTAAAAGCCACAAACAAAGTTAAAAACTTGGCATTATACTAATAGTTTTTTCACTTGGAGTGCGTCTGATGTCGCTGTAAGGAGGTCCTCCAATGTGCATGTGGCAGGGCTCAGGCTGCATTGTAGTAAGTAGCCTGGGCTTTGCTTTTCTCCACACTTGCATGTTGTGGACTCCACTTCGTAGTCCCATTTCTTAAGGTTAGCTCTGCATCTCATGGTGCCAGAGCACAGTCTGTTCAGTCTCCTGTGTGCCCAGGCAGATGTCTTATCATTCGGTATCAGCCATGGATTGAGGTTCCAGTTTTTAGTCTGCCACTTTGGACTCTCACTTGCTGAGAGTTCCTGCAAGTATCTCTGTAGATCTTAGAAAACGATTGATTTAAGACGTTGGCATGCTGGCTGATATCCTAACAGAGGATGGGCCAGAGATCTCAGTGCCTTGGTCCTTTCATTATTAGCTGCTACTTCCTGACTGATATCATACGGTGCAATATCTGCTAAGTAGTATAATTTCTCTAGCAGTGTAGGGCATAGGTATCCTGTGATCATATGGCATGTCTCAAGAGTCACATCCAATGTTTTAACATGGTGAGATGTATTCCACACTGGGCATGCGTATTCAGCAGAGTAGCAAAGCACAAAGGGCAGATGTTCTCACTGTATTTGGTTGTGATCCCCAAGTTGTGCCAGTCAGCTTTCGTATGATGTTATTTTTAGCATCCACTTTTTGCTTGATAGTCAAGCAGTGCTTCTTGGTGATGGTGGTGGTGATGCAATCCAGTTCAAAGTAAATAATCTGCATTCAGAAACTGGATTATATGGCAGTGTAGATGGGGACTCAGTCTATTTTAAAAATATGTAATGATTCAGTAACTCTTAAGAATTTCAGAAAAAACTAGAACAGCTGTCTTATTTCTAATTTACATGGTCCTCAGCATAGGAACAACTTCAGAACACACGTTAGAACAGTTTCAGCAATCATTCTTATCTTCTTCCTGGAATAGATGTTTCTAAAATGGGAGCCAATGCTTTTTTCTAATCTAGTTTCCTTTCAATTTTGTACAGTAATTTTACTGTTGAAAATGTTTGTTTCACTTTTGCTTCTACTTTAGTTATCACCTTTCCCCGTCTTTACTTAAATAATTTTAAATACGAGTATGTTTAAAACAATGTGTTTTAAATCCTATTTAGTAATACCTATCATTATTATTATTATTATTATTATTATTATTATTATTATTATTATTATCAGTAGTAGTAGTAGTATTAGTAGTAGTAGTATTTTCTTTGAACTCTCACATCCTGAGATAGAGTGGCAGTGTGGAAGGGGCCTGTGTATGGAAACAGGATTAGGATAAGGGGCATATTGCTGGGGAGATTGTGGATGGGGTTTATGGGGGGAATTGGGTGTTTTAAAATGTATTTTAATTGTATTTATTGTATTCTAACTGTGTTTTTAACCTGACACACGTAAATATTGTTCAATTATTTTTAATGTTTGCATTTCCTTTGTTTTAAATTAAAAGTGTGTGACTGTTAGCTTCCTTGAGTCTCCTTGGGGAGGAAAGTGGGATATAAATAAAGTAAATAACAACAACAACATACAAGCTGACATGTTACAGACAGATACAAGTGACAGAAACAAATGTTTTGTTTCAGGAGTGAAACTCAGAACAAACATTAAACCAAGCCTTTAAAAACTCCAAATATAATTGCTGTGGTAACAGGACATGGCCCTTGGGCATACTGGCTGAGATCCTACATAAATTGCTATATAAATATCTGCTGGCAAAGTTACATTATGCAACCCAATCCCAATATTGAGTAGTGTTGACAAATTGTGAATGCATATAGCTGTCACCTCATTGCACAAAACATAGAAATGGTGTGCAATGAACATTTACACACTATTCTAGATGCATTATTTTGTATCTGCAGTACTTTTAAATGTAGAAGTCTCTTCCCATCACTGTCAGGTGGATGCATCTATTTCCACATTGTCAAAAAAAAAAAAGTCACTCTGCAAGGTAGTGTTACTAATGCCTGAGTAGGTCATCAACAGGATTCTGCCCATTCTTTGTTTGCACAAGGGGGGCTACAACAAAATGGTGTGTTGCAGAGCACTCTGGTTCAGATGATTTGCTGTATTTATTTCCAGAACATTCTAATCTACCCCTAACCCCCCTCCCCATACTTTTCACTATTTTCTGACTACTCATCGTTTTTTGACCATCAAACATGTTCAACCCTCATTGGTTTATGTTTATAGGAGGAGATGAAATCTCTCCTTGTTTTTTGAGTACTTTAGTCAAGCTTGGCTTTCTAGTCAACACACTTGTTTCTCAGCGGCCCCATTTTGGCAAATGCATACAGATGTTAAGATATGGATTTAAAGTCTACTGATAGTTGCACATGGATAGCTTCATGTTTGCATTTTTTATCTTTAATATGAAGTAATCTTGTTGTTTAAGTCAGTTTTTTGCATTTTAACATAAATGGCATGCATAATGAATAATGTATTTAACACAGATGCAGTTGACCATCAACCGTATGACTAAGCTTTAATTTGTTAAATTGCCCATTGGAGTTTTGCATGTGCAAAGGTCTTACTGTTTGCTTAGTAATATAGTATTTACCTGAGGAATGGGTAATCATACTACTTAGCTTAGTTCACCTTTCATTGCAATGGTGAATCATCACAAAGGAAATATGTATAGTATTGTAGGCTGTAGGTCATAGTGATTTTTTCCAAACCATTTCAGCTTCCCATTGAAAGATGGTGAATGTTGTTATATTTTACTATGAAATGCACTTTTCTATTACCGTATTTAAAGAAATTAAGGAAATAAATCGCAAACTGGAGTGCTGCATTTAATGAGTTTTGCTTATACCTTGATGTCAACAAAATGTTAGACAGGAGACATTTATGTTTGAAAGATACTTTTCTGTTCAAGTGATGGTATACCTTTATACATTAGAGTACCTCAACCCAGTCCATTAATGTCTTGTTTTTTTCTGTTTAAGTCAGATAATTTGAAGCACCCTACAATGGTTTGGGAAGTAAAGACAAATCAGATGCCTAATGCAGTACAAAAACTTCTGTTAGTGGTGGACAAGAGAACTTCAGGGATGAATGAATCATTGGAATTGTTGAAATGTAATGAGAACCTTCCGTCTTCTCCTGGATATGCATCTTGTGATGAGCACATGGAGCTTGGTAAATACTGCTTTAGCTTTCTTCTGGTTATTTTATCTGTCTGTGCCATGAAGGACAATGAATACTGTCTAGGGCACTGATGTGGTATGCCCTAAGATCATTTTGAAAATTTAGAAAATTTCGGGTTTGTACAAGAGAACTGTGCTAGCTTATTGAAATTTTTGATTTCCTTCAACTGTCTAATTTCCTTGAGTGCATATTGCCTTAACTTGACAGATAATTTTGGAAATTTACTTTGGTTTCCCTGAATGAACCTTGGATCCATATTTCTATATATATTTTCATTGACCGATGTTGTGGTTCCATTAAAACACCTTTTGGTAAAAGCCAGTGTCACCAAAAAAAGTAGTATCTTGAGAAAACTCAAGACTGTGGAGATTGTCTTTTTGAGTGTTGAATCTGATAATCAAATAAAGAACATGAGCTATCTGTTCTCTTTACAAAAAAGAGTAATAGAAACATTCCTCCGTGCTGTTTGTTTTTCAGTTTCCTGTGTTTAAACATATGTTTAGTTCAGACAGTTTCAGACATGTAGTCTTTGTATTTTCCATGCTGATAAGAAAAACTACCTACATACATGTGGTGGTCCTTACCATCCAGCATTGACTATTCAGCAATTGGAATAATACTAATATAGTTAACTGTGTTGTGCTGTCCTGCTAATTCAGTGTCCATCCAGTGTGGCACTGCAGTGTCTCCATAGTGGTAACATAATGTAAAAAGGGGATCTCAGAAGTGAAAATAATCCACAAAGTAATCATTATTTGTCCCTCTAGAAAGGCATAAAGCAGTGTGAGGATACAGTGAGCGTTGTGGTGGCTTTATCTATGGAATGATCCATAGGAATAAATGTGACTGTGTATATTTTTGCAGATGATCTGCCAGAACTGCAGGCTGTTCATACTGATTCTACCCCACCTGCACTTTTCCAGCTGAGTGCTAATGTCTCCCATCAGGAATATTCAAGGCCTTTGTGGAAGCAGCATACCTCAAGCAGCAGTCCAGAAAGTTCTTACGCTTGTGAGAATGGAGTGAACTGGTTGACAGAGTTGGCAAACATAGCCACTAGTCCACAGAGTCCTCTAATGCAGTGCTCTTTTTATAACAGGTAGGACACAGTTTTGCAGTTGTTGTCATTCTAGAACGTGCAGCGTTGTGCTCTCATCCAAAAAGGGACCTGCTTGGATTGACCAGTCAATTATTATTTTGGAATCTGGGGTACATGAATAGACTATACACATAGAACCATAGAATCATAGAGTTGGAAGTGACCTCGTGGGCCATCCAGTCCAACCTCCTTCCAAGAAGCAGGAAAATCACACTCACCCCTGACAGATGGCCATCCAGCCTCTGCTTAAAAGCCTCCAAAGAAGGAGCCTCCACAACACTCCGGGGCAGAGTTGTATAGCATAGTTGTGTTGGATTTATCCATTGTGCAAGTAGTATCTCAAAAGATCAGATACATCAGTGTTTGAGGGAAAAAATGCTGGATTCTACCATTTCACTATATCTGTCAATTCATTTCAGTGAATTCATTTTGTTTTAGTACAGAAACACTATGCCATAGAGGTCGGTATATGATGTGCTTTCCACAAGAAGGCCATCGAACCTTTGCAGGGATTAAGATTCCTAATTTAGATAGCATAACTAAATTCCTAGAGTAGAAGTAATTCTGTGGCATTAGCTGGAATGTTTGGTAGGCTAGCCTTTTCTTTTTGTAAATAAAGAAAAAAATGGAATCAGCAAGGAGCCACTATTTGTGGTCTTGTTTAATGAAAAAGTAAAGGAATCTTGCACACTGTTAGACAATTATCAATCAGTAGCTCTCAGTTAATCTTTCTTGCCTTCCTTTGTTTCCATTCTTGACCAAAATCTAATCATACTTTTTTCAAACTTGCTTAGGTCATCTCCTGTTCACCTGATAGCTACAAGCAAAAGTTTACATTCCTATGCACGCCCTCCACCAGAACCCTCTCAGAGTGATTCTGGTTTTCCCAGGCATAATATTGATGCATCACCAGTCAGACATGAAAGGGTAAGTTATAACTATTGTATCTACTGTATTTAAACTAGCAGTGTAACAGAGAATATAATTTAGAGACATGATAGCTGTATATGATGTGCTATTCTCAGAATGGCAGTAGGAGCAATCCACAACTGCTGGGTTCCTTATTTACATTTCTTGACCATTTAGTGCCAATTAAGCACTAATATTAAGCTGATCTGGTACATACTTTGCAGATTTGATACGCAATAGAAATGGGGAAAAATCTCAATAAAAATTCAATTTAAAGAAAAGGAAAAACCACATTTTGCATTTTTCAATTTCTTTGCTTGGATTAAGGATAAATAGATTAAAAGAAAAGAAAAAAGAAGAAAAAAATACGTGCATTCATTCATTAATTCATTTGTGTAATTATTAAAACATACCCTGTGAGAGCTTTTATCAGTTGGGGAGTTTGAATTTTCCTTGGATCTGGTGTTACATTCTTAATATAATTTATGTTACACTTAAAGAGATGCTGGGTGATTTTTTTGTGTTTATCTAAATACAAAATCTAGAAATTTTAGGCAAAAAAATTAAACCTCCAAAAACCTGGGTTGACTTATCCATGGATCGATCTGAGTGCTGCACCTTAATTTTTATAAAAAAAACCAGCTCCTTCTCTGAATAAGGTCATATGAAAATCCATAATTTTGGCTCCAAAACATGTCTTTGACTTATATCAGGTCGACTTATGGAGGAGCATATATAGTAGTTTAAAAATATAATTAAGCGAGACGAAAATACAATCAGATAGGGTGGGATTATGAGTGAAGAGAAGGAAATAGTATCAACTACTTCTTGTACCTGAATGTGGAATGGAATGCATGATTTTTTAAATATTTGTTTCAACTATAGAAATCTTAAAGTATCAAATAAAAACGCATGATTTAAATATATTTGGGAAAACATATAGTAGTTTAGTATGATCTGTCTTAGAAGTATTCAGTTAAAATGTGTGATATGAATATGTGTTTTTTTTTAACAGACAAATAGCGAATCAGAGTCTGGCATTTTCTGTATGTCGTCGCTGTCAGATGATGATGATCTAGGCTGGTGCCACTCCTGGCCTCCAACTGCCTGGCATTGTTTCCTTAAAGGTAAAATATCGTCCATTATATTGTTGTTAACTGCCATCAAGTTGACGTTGACTTACAGTACCCCTATGAGTGAGAGACCTCCCAACAGCCCTTCTCCAGTCTTGACTGAGTTTAAAATCAGATCTGCACCTTTGATGACACCAAATTTCTTCTTGTTGTTGTTTTAAAATTAGGAACACGTTTGTGCTTCCACAAAGGGGCAAAGAAAGAATGGAAGGATGTTGAAGATTTTGCTAGGTTCACAGGCTATAAAAATGAAGCTGATGATTCAATGACTTCTTGCAAAGTAAGTTAAAAATAGTTAAAAGTTGTGGTGAGGTATTTTTTGTATAGATGTAAAATCTTATTTAGAATCATAGAGTTGGAAGAGACTTCATGGGCCATCCAGTACAACCCCCTGCCAAGAAGCAGGAATATTGCATTCAAAGCACCCCTGACAGATGGCCATCCAGCCTCTGTTTAAAAGCTTAGGGGCAGAAAGTTCCACTACTGAACGGCTCTCACAGTCAGGAAGTTCTTCCTAATGTTCAGATGGAATCTCCTTTATATTAATGTTTCATGTCATATATTGTTATTTGGATAACATTTCAGTAATTGTATAAATTTTTGAAACATATTTTCTGCTTTCCACAGATTTTTGTAACTAACAGTATTACAGGTAGTCCTCAGGTTACAAACATCTGACTTAGAAATGACTCATAGTTAAGAATGGGGGTGAGACAACAGGAAGTGAGAGAAATCTTCCTCTAGAAAGGAGAATTCACTCCTGAAAGAGTTATCATGGAGAAAAGGTGTCTCCACTGAAGGTTTATCTCCAAGCCTTGTTTCCACAATAAGCCACATTTTTCAAAATCTGATTGTTATAGAGGCAGAAAGTGAGATGAAATCTTACGGACAGGGGAACAAAACTGCAAAACAATCACCATAGGGGTGTTAACCCTTCCCTGTGCTATCCAAAGCTAAAAAAGGAGACATTTTTGGCTCAAGTCACACTTTAAAATGTACCTTTTCGACTTACAAACAAATTGAACTTAAGAACAAACCACAGAATCTATCTTGTTTGTGACTTGGGGGCTGCTTGCACTTTGTCAGTTGTTTTGCATCAACTAATACGTCATCATTGGAAACTGCAGTGAGTCCCCTCAGAGATATAGGGTGGTTTACAAATAAATTATTATTATTATTATTATTATTATTATTATTATTTCAAACACAACAAGATGAGTCCACAGCAAACAAGATCACTCTGCTTGTTGTTGTATTGTATCACACGTCAGACACTTCCCAAGTGTCTAGGACTGTGTGATGTATTGGCGAATAATGCGTGCAGATCCCAGTAGGGTGGCCTTTGGAAGCTGGCAGATGGTAATTTTATCAGCGCTGATTGTGTTTAATTGTAGGCCAAGGTCTTTAGGCACTGCACCCAGTCGATCACCACTGGTACCGCCTTTACTGGATTGTGCCAGAGTCTTTGCAGTTCAATCTTTCAATCCTCATAACATGTCAGCTTTTCCAGTTGTTTCTCTTCATTCCTGCTGTTGCCTGGGATTGCAACATCAATTATTATTATTATTATTATTAACATTATTATTATCACCAGATATTTTAAAGAGACAGGCAGCTTCTAGATGCAGTCAGTAAAATAATATTCAATATTTCCCTAGCTGCAAAATCGCACACAGTGACAGGAGAAGGAGGAAGAGGCCGGTATGACTTTCTGCCTTGTTACTCCCTGAGGAATGACTAACTTACCCAAGACAAGCAGGCAGATGATTAATGTCATGGCTTTAGCTCCAAAGAGAACGTTCTGGCTCATAAAGCAATGTTTCAACATAGATTATAGTGATTTCTTCCTCTTGTGGCAGATGTTAGATAGAGCAAGTAAACCTGGTTATTGAAACTAAATAAAGCCTTTTGAACAACATGTGGGCCTCCCGTGATTTGTACGGAGCCCTTATCTGTGGAGCGTTTTGGGAGATGGGAGAGCCTTTCACTGCCTTGCAACTGCTAGGAGTGTTAGTGGGAAAACAGTTTTGTTTTTGTGTGTCTTCAAGTCATTTCTAGCTTAAGGAAACCTATTGTGCAGTTTCCTTGGAATAATGGCAGGTTTGTCTTTGCCTCCCAATGAGGCAGAGAGACTGTGACTTGACTTAGGTCACCCAGTGGGTTTCCATGACTGAGCGGGGATTTGAACCCTGGTTTCCAATGCTCAAAGCACTACACCATACTGCAGAAAAAGTTACCTTGGTTACGACCACCCCTCCAGTATATCTCCTATTCTAAAAGCTTACAAGGCCAAAATTATGCCCATGGAGCAAAACTCTAGAGTCAAATGAAGGTACTCTTTTTGGAGCAGACACGTGACTGCTTCTTAAGGAAAATACTTGAAACAGATAAAAACAAAAACAAAACCCCAAAAATACTAATGTGGGAGACAGACATCAGATTTTGGCACCATTAAAAACATTAATTATAATCACAAATTTACTTTACATGTTTTTCTCCAAGCAGTGAGAGCAGAACTTGGGGCCCATTCTATCCATTGCTAGGTTTTGATAAAAGTCTTTAATTATTGGCTAAAGATTCTTCAAATGGACCCAGGGAGACTCCCTAAACTCTGCCTAGGAGAACAGTTAAGTCTACAGTGACCTAACCTCTGGGTATTCTAATTTTATCAACTAACGTACCAGCATTTTCCCATCTACTTTTCCTAAGCTATTCAGCCCTGGAAACATTAAAAGAGTTCTGGATATCACTGCACAAACACATATAGCTTTGCTGGCCAGCTTCAAATCTCTAAACTGGTTAGCCAAAAACAAAACAACATTTGGATTAGAAAAAAGTAACATAGGGCAAACTTCATGCAGGGATAGGAAATAGCTTTTATTATTTATTTACTTACTGTATTTTGTATACCGCCCCTCTCAGCCTGAGAGGCAGTTTACAGGGCAAAATTCAATGCAGCAAAAACACAAGTATAATATAAAAAGATTAAACAATAATAAAATCATAACAGCAACAATAAAACATAATTCAATAAATACTCATTAAAATATTGTCCAAAGCTAGATTCGAGCAACTTAATTCTATGGTAAAACAGGATGATTAAAAAAAAACATTATGAAAGAACAATCATCTGTGGTACACGAGATAGAGGACATTGTGCATATTTTGTTTGATTGTTGTATATATGTCAACGTGAGATCTCAATATTTATAACCGCTTTTGGTCAGAACAACCAACTGGGACCCAATTGTCAAACTGTCTTATTTTCTTTCTGGGGAGAATCTACACTTAGTCCGAGAAATCTCTTTATCTCACAAAATGTGGTCCCTTGTTATGGTGATGAACTTATTATTCAATCAAGTTTTATCGTGTTTTGATTAATTTTGGTTAATGATTACAGGAGTTTTAGCATTATTAGTGTCTTATTTGTCTGTGTATTTTTGTTTTTGTATTTTATTGTTGATACGGTCTATTGACTAATCAATATCTATCTATCTATCTATCTATCTATTCTTTATTTATAGTATAAATATTCTGCCTTTCTCACCCCGAAGGGGACTCAGGGTGGATCACAATGTACATATACACAGCAAACATTCAATGCTGTTTTTGACATACAAGACATACATATTTCCACTTCAGATCCTCCTGGAGGTTGCTCGATTCGGCCACAGGGGGAGCTGTCGCTTTGTCCACTATGACGTCGAGCCTTTTTGATCATAATATTTCCTCCTTGCTCTCCGGCATTTTTATGGTATTATACATTAGCCTCCCAGCTTCAAGCGGTGCCTAATTTCTCTACTCACAGCTGTTTTCGAACTACTTAGGTCAACAGTGAGCTGGGTATATTTTTTTAACAGCTATTTTTTTTAACAGCTATTAACAGTTGGGTGCTCAACCGCAACTCGGGCTTCAAACTTACCACCTTTCTGTCGGCAGTGATTTATTGTAACTGATTATTTGCAGTAAATAATTTATTGCAACGGAGGGCAACTAAAATGATCAAGGGTCTGGAGAACAAGCCCTATGAGGAGCGGCTTAAGAAGCTGGGCATGTTTAGCTTGAAGAACAGAAGGATGAGAGGAGATATGGTAGCCATGTATAAATATGTGAGAGGAAGCCACAGGGAGGAGGGAGCAAGCTTGTTTTCTGCTTCCCTGGAGACTAGGACGCGGAGCAATGGCTTCAAACTACAAGAGAGGAGATTCCATCTGAACATGAGGAAGAACTTCCTGACTGTGAGAGCCGTTCCCATTGCCTACCCATTTTAAGCAAAGTTGTTAAGGCTTGAGATGTTGAGTGTGTGTAGAGCAAATGATGGTTATTTTGGGAAATCGGTTACGTAGAGTAAGAGCGGCTGCGGTTTCCACTGGTTCACTTGTTCTTTCAATGATTAAATCTCATCTGTTATACAGGAATATGGTTCTGATGGCTTGAAGTTGATCTCACATGAAGAAATTGTTTCATTTGGAGAGTCTGTACTAGAGTTAACGTTTGACCCAGGCACAGAAGGAGATTGCTTGCTTACTGTGGAATGTAAACTAGATCACCCTTTCTACGTCAAAAATAAAGGTAGGACATTTTTGTTACTGCAGATATCATGTATTCTAATGTGCAATTGCAAACAACTGGAGTGTGATTTCTGTGATGTATTCATGTTATGGCAGTAGGAAGAAAAAGGATCAAATGCATTTTTAAGCATTTCTTCTTCCTTTTAAAACCTGCAGCAGAACATTGTGACAGGAGTTACAGGAGAAAGAGAGAAATTTGCAAAAATCACCTTCCTCTAATAGGGTACATTTTGTGAATTGAAGGAGTTCTCTGGATCCAGCTCATTATTTTTGATACAGAATTGTCAAATTGTAGGGCTTCCTGGTTTCACTAAATGTTTCAGCAAAACAATGACTGTTACAATGCCATGGAGTCCTACCATTATTATTAAGAATCGCTTCCTGATTATATTTCAAGTCTTAAATAAGTGACTAAAGTGCTTTCCTAGGAATTAAACATGATATTTATGACAGCTGCTATTAATATAACCCCAAATAATGAAAGGCTTGGTGAGGATCTCAAATAAAACAAAATCATATGAATAGTTGAACAATTGCTGTCATTAAATTACTGCTTTTATATTGCTTTGATCATACCCTTTCATGCTAACACTCCTGAGTTTATTGTCGAAGGCTTTCATGGCCGGAATCACTGCGTTGTTGTAGGTTTTATCGGGCTATATGGCCATGTTCTAGAGCAGTGGTTCTCAACCTAGGGTCCCCAGATGTTTTTGGCCTACAACTCCCAGAAATCCCAGCCAGATTACCCACTGTTAGGATTTCTGGGAGTTGAAGGCCAAAAACATCTGGGGACCCCAGGTTGAGAACCACTGTTCTAGAGGCATTTTCTCCTGACATTTCGCCTGCATCTATGGCAAGCATCCTAAGAGGTAGTGAGGTCTGTTGGAACTAGGAAAATGGGTTTATATATCTGTGGAATGACCAGGGTGAGACAAAGAACTCTTGTCTGCTGGAGCTAGGTGTGAATGTTTCAACTGACCACCTTGATTAGCATTTGATGGCCTGGCAGTTTTTTGGTGTGGGTTGTTGGTGCCTGGAGCAATCTTTTGTTGAGAGGTGATTAGATGTCCCTGATTGTTTTCCCTCTGTTGTTTTGCTGTTGTAATTTTAGAATTTTTAAATACTGGAAGCCAGATTTTGTTCATTTTCATGGTTTCCTCCTTTCTGTTGAAATTGTCCACATGCTTGTGGATTTCAATGGTTTCTCTGTGTAGTCTGACATGGTGGTTGTTAGAGTGGTCCAGCAGCCATAGCAGAGCACCCGATGAACCAACCTGTACACAGCATATAATTTGAGAACACAGAAATGCTGCACAGATATATAAACCCATTTTCCTAGTTCCAACAGACCTCACTACCTCTGAGGATGCTTGCCAAATATGCAGGCAAAACCTCAGGAGAGAATGCCTCTAGAACATGGCCATATAGCCTGGAAAAACCTACAACAACCCACTCCCGAGCTTACTCAGGCTGTTATTCTAAGTTTTACTTTATCCTGAAAGTGTTAATAATGAGGGGGGGGGGGCTTGTGTTCTTCTGTCCCACTTGCCCCATATATTTAATGTCATTCATAAATGTATAGGTTTTTCTAGCTTTGAAAGTTACAAAGGGAAGTAGAAAATGGTTGTGGGGCAGGTCTCGATTTATACCTGAGTTATCTGTAATAATTTTATGAAAAGTTATTTCCCAAATAATCTACTGTAACTTGGTTCCTAAACTGTAAGGTAATGACATTTACAAATTTTATTCCATAGTAATAAGATTATCACTCCTCTGTTATCCAGAATAATCTCAGTTTTCCCAATCTAACACTGCAAATATTTTAAATTTAAAAATGTAATTAAATTGTAGTCCATACTGGGAAAAAGTGTATTCTTTGGGCTCATGTTAAAGATTTGTTAATTATAATAGGGAATTTTGTTCCTCTAGTCAGTTTTTCCTCAAGTAGAGGTAAGTTGTCAAAGGGAAGCCTTTGGAAGGACAGGCAGTTTTCGTCAGACTATGGCAGTATATTTTCAGTGGAAAAAGGTCCTGCAAGTCAGCTTCAATTTTTCTGAGGTTTAAGAGCTTCAAAACACACACACATACCTCAATATGTTCACAAAATATTGCAGTGCCATTTGGAAGACTGGGCACGGGTTTTCCCTCTTATCTTTTTCTTCCTGAAATTATGGACCTAATGGAATACTTCAGAGGATCAGAAGTCAACTTGGCTCTTTTTGCTGTTTGCTAGGAATGCTGCCAAACCTTTATCATGAAAATCAGTGTCTCACAGCTGCCTGGGTTGCATCTTGCCCTTCCTGCTGTGGTTCGATAAGAAAATTGTGGTGGCGAACGGTTGTGCCTGTTGAAAGTCAATATATGGGATTCCTCTTGTGTTATGAGAATATTCTGGCATAGTGATCCCTCTGATTGAACTGGAGATGTTTAATATTTTTTATTGCCTGGATATTCAAATCACTTGGTGTTTAAATTGTGCTACTCTTAAATGTGTGGAATTTAGCACAATTGAAAAAATAGAGGTTGCTATCAATACCTTTTCCGAATTAGTATCTGAATCAATAATTGTAATTTTGTTACATAGTGTAATATCTCTACTTAACAGCTAAACGCGAAAGCAGCATTCCTGAACACAGTTAGCAGGATGAAAGCATCATTTAACACTGAAGAGTTCTGAGTTAATTTACATAGATTGTACCATACATAGGATTTCAGTTGAAATCCATATCAGATCCCGTTTTATGCTGTTTATGCTATTATTCCCTTAAATTGAGAATGCCAAATATAGAAAATTGTGTTTGCATTTTGAAATACTATTTTTTAAAAATTAATTAATTTTAAATTATTATTTTTCTGTACAGGTTGGTCCTCTTTTCATCCAAGCCTGACTGTGGTTCAGCATGGTATTCCATGTTGTGAAATGCATATTGGAGATATATGCCTACCTCCTGGACACCCAGATGCAATTAATTTTGATGATTCAGGTGTTTTTGATACATTCAAAAGGTAACTCTTAAAGTGAACATCCCTTTATGCTCATCTTTTTCCCCCCCTAAACCGACCCTCCAGATTTTAAGTAAAACATAAAGGCAGCCCTACATTTTTTCTGGCTTTACAATGTGCTTTTCCTTGTAAAATTTTTACTTTTGACCTGATAGTAAATGATGACAATCGCAAATGAGAAAAAAACCCCAAATCATTAACATTTATAGAGTAATCTAACAATAATAATTATTTTGAGAGGTAAGTAAGGCCAATGGTGGCTTATGGCTTGAATGTTGGGTGGTAGGCATGGTCATTGGAGGTTGAGCTAAGGCAGGGATCCACAAACTTTTTAAACAGAGGGCCAGGTCACAGTCCCTCAAACTGTTGGGGGGCCGGATTATAATTTGAAAAAACATGAATGAATTCCTATGCACAGTGCACATATCTTATTTGTAGTGCAAAAACACTTTGAAACAATACAATAATTAAAATGAAGAACAATTTTAACAAATATAAACTTATTAGTATTTCAATGGGAAGTGTGGGCCTGGTTTTGGCTAGTGAGATAGGATTGTTGTTGTTGTGTGCTTTCAAGTCGTTTCAGACTTAGGTTGACTCCGGATGAGGGCCGGGTAAATGACCTTGAAGGGCCGTATCCGTCCCCCGGGCCTTAGTTTGAGGACCCCTGAGCTAAGGGATAGTATTTGCCATAGAAATAGAGATGTCTAGCATGCTTCTGAAGGTCACTTTTTGTCAAAATTAGCAAAGAAATTGGATGGCATTATTAGCAAGAGCCAACATGATGTTGTGGTTTGAGTGTTAAACTTAGACATTGTGAGACCAAAGCTTGAATCCTTGCTTGGCCATGAAAACCAGCTGATCTTGAGCAAGTCACACTCTCAGCCACAGAGGAATTAAAAGGAAAATCCCCTGTGACAAATTTTGCCAAGAAAAGCCTGTGATAAGTTTGCCTTAGGATTGCCATGCAATTTGAAGACACAGAACAACGAACAGCAGCAGGAAGCCAGCACCTCTGTGCCTATTATATCTGGTATATTGATATCCTAGCCACAAAATCAGCAAAGTTAATAAAATAGATGATCTTAAATCTTTAGGAGTACATGTTGGTCCTTAGTAGACCCATTGAATCAGTGTGATTTACCTTTGTGTGATTTAATCATTCTACTCTAGTTGGATCTAAACAAGAGGATGCCAACTTTCCCAACTTCTGCTAAAACCATCTTACTCAGTTACATGTATATTGGGGGATGCTTTTAACAAATGTGTTGATATTAAATTGTCATTTTTTGTTTAAATAACTGCACTTTATTCTCACAAGAACTTTGTAAGATATATTGGTGTGTGAGAGGCGGACTGTTGCAAGATGGCCCAGTAAAGTAAAACTTTTAGGAGCCCCAACAATTGTTTGGCTTCCTTTGTTCATCTTGCTTTGCTTAAAAAAATAATATAATAAAAGATATCCAGAAGATTTCCATCATCACCACTCATTGGCTGCCACCTGCTGCAATGCAACCTGAGCCCTGCCACATACACAATGGAGGACCTTCTTGCAGCAACACCAGAAGCACTCCAAGTGGCCAGATACTGGTCAAAGGACATTTAACCAACTACCAAACTCACAAATGCTGTATTTTATCTGTTTGTTTGCTTTGTTCTGTTAGAAATGTAATATAATTGACTGGTTGATCTGACACGACAAATAAATAAATTGGCTGCCACCACAAAAAATATTTGCCTGGCTAGAAATTCCCAGAGTACTTCAGTGATCTCTCATCCAAGTACTAGGCTTCACATTGCTCATCTTCTGATGCTAGACAAGAGCGCTGGAGAGGGAATCTTCAGGGTCTTACAGTGGTATATAACTTTAAATTCAAATTCTCAGTAAATATTTTTGTGATAATAATCTTTTATCATGTGGGATCGTTGCTTTCCATCCAGACTCAGCTTGTTGTGACTCAGCTGGAATCAGAGAGTGTTTCTGATGAGGATGATGGGACTCCGTTTCACAGTTGGGTTCAAAATGTCCCTGTTATAGACAGTGAAGAAATGCAGTTTCCCACAGTAAGGCATGAGATTGTTGATACTGAAAATAGCCAGGTGCAGGTGCAGATTGACTCAGAGAAGGAGGATAGCTCTCAGCCTGGTTCTCAGCCTGATAATGAGCAAGCAGGGAAACAGGCTAACACTAATGAACAGACTTACCTTGACGATATGGGAACTTTAGATCTGGCTGACCGATTGGAATTTTGAATTCGAAGGAGTGAAAGAATAGCTAATAAGAGGGAGGCCAGAGGCCAGAGAAACACCTTTATGTTTTGCAAATAGTATTAAACTGTGTTTGAGACTAGATCTTTGTCAAAGCAACTTCACGTTTACCTAAAGAGCTTGCCTAAACTAGGCTGGATTATCTTGCAGTTTTGTTGTTCATGGTTCCAGGACTTTGTCATGTCTCTTGGGTTATGCTTTGCTGATACCTTTTTGGATTAAACTTCAAGTGCTATGTTATATTGATCTTTTGGAACATTAACCTTTGCTTTTAAGAACTTTTTACCTTTTATTTTTAATAAACTATAAAGACTTCTGGCTGTGTGCAGTTTGGTGTTCTTCAGCAAGGTGAATCTACTCTGAGATGCAACAGCTGTTGTTTTCTTTGATTAGTCTGTATATGATATACTATGGTATATTTAGAGGACCTCAGGGCATATCACACTATGTAACACAATTTTTGTTCCTGGATTATAAATGCCATTTCCTAATTGGTTCTATCATAAAAACATGGGGAAAGTTTATTAAACTTCCAAAACGTGGTTTTTGTGAGAGATTCATTGCTATAGTTTTTCAATCAATCTCTCATCAAGTCTCTACCAATTCAACATAGTTTCTAGCAGCCACAAAAACGAGTATAATAACTACTTTCAAAGTAAATACCACACAATTCAACAGGAAATAACACTTTCAAACCAGGAACAGATTTGGTTCAAATTTTGTTATCTAATGTTATGGGATGGGGAGGATTAGGACAATAATAAGGAAGTCCAGTTTTTTTGTTTATTTTGCAGTGATGCCCAAACAAACAACAAACAAATAATTTAGATGGGTTGTTGTAGGTTTTTTCAGGCTATGACATAGATGCAAGCAAAACGTCAGGAGAGGATGCCTCTAGAACATGGCCATATAGCCCGAAAAAACTTACAACAACCCAGTGATTCCGGCCATGAAAGCCTTCGACAATACAAATAGTTTAGACTCAAATTTTGGCAGGAATAGAAGATAATGTATGGCATTTTATCCGGACCCAGAGAGACTGCAGCATTCTCATTTAAGTTTAAATCCTGAATCAAAGCGCAAAAGCCATTTAGTTTCTAATTTTGGATTTCTCCATTTCAGTTACGATTTCACACCGATGGATTCCTCTGCCGTCTATGTGTTGAGCAGCATGGCCCGTCAGAGGCGCGCTTCTCTATCGGGAGGAGGGCCAGGAAGCCAAGACTTTGAAAGATCAGAGTGCAGCACAAACTATGGGCTCGCTCAGCCATCACAGATTTCATCCCATTCTTTGTACAGAAAAGCTGGCAAAAGCCACAGCTCAGGGACTGCAACTACTGTGAGTGCCACTTCTCCCAACAAATGCAAAAGACCAATGAATGCCTTCATGCTTTTTGCCAAAAAGTACAGAGTTGAATACACTCAGATGTATCCAGGAAAAGATAACAGGTAACAGCAGTTATTCTAAATTTGGGTTGTGCGTGTGAACTTTTTGAATCCTGATTTTTGGATTTGCATTCTATTATATATGTATATTGAGCTTTGTACCCTCTGTTTTGACTTATACATTTTGTTGTATGTATTTTATGTTGATATTTTGACTATATTGTACCCTGTCTTGAGCAGTTAGAACAGGTGGATAACAAATGAATTATGATGGTTATATTGCTGTTGTTGTTATGGTGGTGTGTATTAAATTCCTGAAAACAGTTTCCTAGTTTGAATATTATAGGAAATTATTTTCAGCAGACCCAGAATCCCCCTCTGAAGCAGGACGTGCTGAATGTTTCTCCCAACAAATCATAGTTGGTCAGATGAGGAAAAATCTGTCTGAACTAGATCAGTGCATGCTGCCATTTTCCAAATTTGTAGATTCTATTTTAGTATCATGTGCACTGACTTAGTTATTTATTTACTTCATTTATACCCCACTTTTCTCACCCCACAAGGGACTCAAGGTGGCTTAAAGACACCTGCAAAATTCAGTGTCGCATATGAACATAACAATAAAAACATATCCCATCTAACTACAAAATAGTTAAATCACATGAGCAAATAAAACACGTAGAACAGTAAAACAGATTAATACATATAAAGTGCTTGATTCCATTAATCCAAGGGACATAATGAAATGGGAAGCTGGAAGGAGCCAAATTATGTCATTTACCATAAGTGCCAGTCTCAAAGTTGTAGCTACATTCAGCATTTTTCTCTCATTGTAAAGGCGCCTAAATCAGAAAAGCAATATTCCAACAAAGAGGACAAACCTTAATTATTAGCTACGGTTGTAGCCCACAGTGTCATTTTGCTTTTACAAACAGTATTACTTCCCATGTTATCTTCCTTCAAGACCATATGCTAAGTGGGAATGGGTTTTCTATTATGCAACTGGTGGCTTAATTGATGTTATAATCTCCAACATGCTCCAGTGCTTGCACAACTAAAAATCCCAGTGGGTTTGTTGTTTTCACTCTTTTATGTTATTTTGGTGTCTGTTATTATGGTACTCATATAGTTTTACTTTTTATCCCTTTTTTTATTAAAAAAAGGGTGTGCGACTATTACGCGATGAAAAAAATTCTCTAATTCTCTAATTTCTTTTTTTAAAAATTAACTGCCTTTTCTCCAAAAAGGAAGGAGGAGGGGCAATCCAACCTCAAATAAACAGCTCCATTTCTGTTTAAAAAAAAAAAAGAACTGTCTTGCCTTAGAGAAAGGAATAGGGAAGATTCTTCCTCCCTTCCTTCTTTTTCCGAAGGCAAGGCAGTTTAAAAACTATAAAATGCAAATCTTTGGAGCGCCATTTTTCCCTCCTTCCTCTGAGACCTTGAGACATCTGAAATGGAGCTCTTTGGAGGAAGGAGGGAAGATCCCAAGTTCTAGAACAGTGGTTCTCAACCTGGGGTCCCCAGATGTTTTTAGCCTTCAACTCCCAGAAATCCTAACAGCTGGTAAACTGGCTAGGATTTCTGGAAGTTGTAGGCCAAAAACATCTGGGGACCCCGGGTTGAGAATCACTGTTCTAGAGCCTCTGTTTCAGGTTTTTGAAACTGTTCTGCCAAGGAGGAAGGAAGAGCTCCAGTGACTCCATTTCATAGTTTTTAAATTGTCTTGCCTTCAGAGAAGGGAGGGAGGGGGAATCATGCCCAAACGGCTCTGCGACTATTATGTGAGGATCACAAAAATACCAATTTTGCTACCCAAAAATGGGTGTGTGACTATTATGCGGTAGCAACTATTATGCAATGAAATACAATATATTACATATATCACATGCATTTTGGACATTCCCTTTGGTGTCTGACATTAAGTGTATATCTACCTGCTCACCCTTTCAAAATCCACAAGTCTTGATATTGTTGGGATAAAGAAATACTTAATATTTTGCACATCCTTATTGTTTAGTGAGAACAGGCATCTTTTAAAGCCATTTGATTTACTCTTAGTTCCCGTAATGCCTTTCACATTGCAGTCATAATGGGTATTATTTATCATAGTAGAAGGTAGATATTAAGGTACAATGATAAAATTAGTGCTTAATCATCCACAATTTCAGAAGAATATAACCATCAGGTTTTGATAAAAATAATTTAAAACACCACAGGTTACTTTGACAACTACAGGTCATAATTTAATTATGAATTGCTTCCTTGGGACTCTCATCAAAGCAGTGGCTGCATTCAAGATGTTGCACCTAACTTTGAAAGTGGCAGCTCCCTTGACCATGTTAGTGTTTTCTCATATCTAATTATGGGGCTCTGTTGTTGTCATAAAAAGAAGTAAGTGCTTTAAGAAGTTAGAATTCTTTGGGCTCCTTCACTGATTTTTTGAAAATATTTCTTCTGCAGAGCCATAAGTGTGATACTTGGTGACAGGTGGAAGAAAATGAAAAATGAGGAAAGGCGGATATACACCTTAGAAGCCAAGGCTTTGGCTGAAGAACAAAAACGTTTAAATCCTGACTGCTGGAAACGGAAAAGGACAAATTCAGTACGTTTCCCCCTGTTCTTATTTATTTTTTGTTTTGCTTTGCAACACATCTTTCATTTGTGAAATCTTGGCTTAGATTTAGAAACAGACTTCACTGTTTCCTCAGACAGGTATTGCAGCTACCTTCCAAGTTTCCTTTCTTGTGGGGAAAAAAAGCATTTAGTCAGATACCAATTGTACAAGTTCTCCCACTTAAAAAGATGAGAGAGGCCTGTAATTGACATCATAGGAAGACCTCAACTATGAGAGACAACATGAGAAAACATATCCAGAAAATCACATTGTCTGACTTTTATCGAATTTATTTGCAAATTATGGTGGAAAATAAGTATTTGGTCCATAGCAAAAGTTCATCGCAGACCTCACCTCTGAGGATGCTTGCCATAGATGCAGGCGAAACGTCAGGAGAAATGCCTCTAGAACATGGCCATATAGCCCGAAAAAACCCACAAGAACTGAGTGATTCCAGCCATGAAAGCCTTCGACAATTCATCTCAATACTTCGTTATTTTTCATTTATTGGCAATGACAGATGTCAGACATTTTCTGTAAGTCTTCACAAGGTAGTCACACACTGTTGCTGGTATGTTGGCCCATTCCTCCATTCAGATCTCCTCAAGAGCAGTGATATTTTGGGGCTGTCGTTGGGCAACACGGACTTTCAACTCCCTCCAAAGGTTTTGTATAGGGTTGAGATCTGGAGACTGGCTGGGCCACTCCAGGACCTTAAAATGCTTCTTACGAAGCCACTCCTTCATTGCCCTTGGGACCATTGTCATGCTGAAAGATCCAGTCATGTTTCATCTTCTGTGCCCTTGCTGATGGAAGGAGGTTTGCACTCAAAATCTCACGATACATGGCCCCATTCATTCTTTCATGTATACGGATCAGTCACCCTGGTCCCTTTGCAGAGAAACAGCCCCAAAGCATGATGTTGCCACCCCCATTCTTCACAGTAGGGATGGTGTTCTTTTGATGCAACTCAGCATTCTTTCTCCTCCAAACATGACGAGTTGTGTTTCTTCCAAACAATTCTACTTTGGTTTCATCTGACCATACGACATTCTCCCAATGCTCTTCTGGATCATCCAAATGCTCGCTAGCAAACTTGAGTTGTCCCCAGACATGTACTGGCTTAAGCAGGAGGACACGTTTGGCACTGCAGGATTTGAGTCCCTTGCGGCGTAGTGTGTTACTGATGGTAGCCTTTGTTACATTGGTCCCAGCTCTCTGTGGGTCATTCACTAGGTTCCCTTGTGTGGTTCTGGGATTTTTGCTCTTGTGATCATTTTGACCCCACGGGATGAGATCTTGCGTGGGAGTCCCAGATGGAGGGAGATTATCAGTGGTCTTGTATCTCTTCCATTTTCTAATTACTGCTCCCACAGTTGATTTCTTCACCCCAAGCGGCTTGCCTATTGCAGATTCAGTCTGGTGCAGGGCGACAATTTTGTTTCTGGTGTCCTTCAACAGCTCTTTGGCCTTCACCATAGTGGAATTTGGAGTGTGACTGCTTGAGGTTGTGGACAGGTGTCTTTTATACTGATAACAAGTTCAAATAGGTGCCATTACTATGAGTGGAGGACAGAGGAGCCTCTTCAAGAAGTTACAGGCCAGAAATCTGGCTTGTTTGTAGGTGACCAAATACTTATTTTCCACCATAATTTGCAAATCTATATAAATAAAAATGTAATGTTTGTTTGTGGGATTAACAGAATTCAAAAACCACTGGATGAATTGACACCAAATTTGGACACAAGACACCTCACAACCCCAATGTATGTCCTTCGCTCAAAAAATTTGATTTTGTCATTTGGGAGTTGTAGTTGCTGGGATTTATAGTTCACCTACAATCAAAGAGCATTCTGAAACCCACCAATGATGGAATTGAACCAAACGTGGCACACAGAACTCCCATGACCAACAGAAAACAGTAGATGGGTTTGGTGGGCAGTGTCCTTTGGTTTTGGAGTTGTAGTTCACCTACATCCAGAGAGCACTGTGGACTCAAACAATGGTGGATCTGGACCAAACTACACAAATTTTCAATATGCCAATGTGAACACTGGTGGAGTTTTGGGGAAATAGACCTTGACATTTGGAAGTTGTAGTTGCTGGGATTTGTAGTTCACCTACAATCACAGAGCATTCTGAACCCCACCAATGATAGAATTGGGCCAAACCTCCCGCACAGAACCCCCATGACCACTAGAGTGGCCCACAGCAACGCGTGGCAGGGTACGGCTAGTAAATTTGATAAAAACAATGTGATTTTCTGGATGGATTTTCTCATGTTGTCTCTCATAGTTGAGGTCTACCTATGGTGTCAATTAAAGGCCTCTCTCATCTTTTTAAGTGGGACAACTTGTACAATTGTTATCTGACTAAATACATCCCCCCCCCCCCGTATATGGTCATGCTACATTTTGTGGTGGGGTACAGGATGTATTACTTTCCAGCTCCAGAATCTATTCTCATTCTCTATTATATTGTCTGATATCAGAAAGAGGAGCAAGAGCTGTAATTAGCTTTGGCATATTCTGAATTGTCATGAAAAAAGACCCATTTGTGAATTGTTTCATAGATAATTTTTTTTCTGATCTCCCTCACAGTAGTTTGGAAAGGGACTTAAAAAACCATTATGTTGTCACTGACAGTCATATGACAATGGGCTGTCCCCGTTTCACCCATATCCTTAGAAATTGCCCTGCTGTTTAATCTTCTGATGCCATCACTACATCTTATGTTGTGGAATATGCAACTGGCAAGGGAAAACAGATCCTCGTGTAGCAGGATTCTTACTTGAAGCAGTAGAGCATTTCTTAGCCATAGGTGGCGCCATAAACTAAAGCATTAGTTGCAAGTCATCTTTTTCCTAAATGCATAGCTTGGTATTGGCTGTTAAGTTCGTTTTGGCCATACTTTGAAATAGCTTAAGAAGAGTTGTAGTTGCTGGGGTTTGTAGTTCACCTACAATCACAGAGCATTAGGCCAAACCTCCCACACAGAACCCCCATGACCACCAGAGTGGGCCACAGCAACGCGTGGCAGGGTGCAGCTAGTGTGTTTTTGTCTTCCAGCAAAGGAACACTTACTGTATTTTCACTTAGCCACATTAAAGGTGAATCGTGGCAGATAGCTTAAAGGGAAGCCCAAGGGATCCCTTATGTCAGAGTTATGTCAGATAATTTTGTCTACATGCACTGCAACAAGGATGTAACAGATGCACAGACTGAGTCTATTTCTCACTTTCAGTCTGTACTACATTATATGTCACTCAGGCTTGAAAATGGATATCTTGTGGTGCTAAAGAGGCTAGTTATGGGGCATAAATAAACATAATAGTAGTAATAATAATGGAAGGTTGCTTACCTGTAACCGTGGTTTCCTGAGTAGTTACCTGTGAATTCACACATTGTGGTATTCCTGCGCCAGCGCAGGCCAGCTTCGGAACCTTCTAGAAAACTCAAACAAATGTATCCCCCTCGTGGCTCCACCTCCCCCTCCTCAAGTATATAAGGCCCTCGTGGAGCCCGCCCTCCATCCTCTTTCGCCGTAAAGACCAACAGAGGAGGTGGCATGATACCCGAGGGGAGGAAGGGAGGGTATGTGTGAATTCACAGGTAACTACTCAGGAAACCACGGTTACAGGTAAGCAACCTTCCATTTCCTGTCGTAGTTAACTGTGAATCACACATTGTGGTAGACTAGCGAGCTATGTGACGGCTGGTGGGATCATGCCACCGCTGAAAACAGCACCGCTCTACCAAATCYCGTCTCTCCTCTCGCCACACAGTCCAGCTTGTAGTGGGAAACAAATGTGGAAGGAGAGGCCCAAATGGCAGCCCTGCAGATAGTCTCTACAGGAATGCCCTTCATAAATGCAGTGGACGCTGCTACAGCCCTCGTCRAATGACCCTTAACCTGACCGGGTAACTCTTTGCCTACTATCCTGTACGAAGTACGGATAGCCGAAACAATCCAAGCTGACAAACGTTGAGTAGAAACTGGAAGGCCCCTAGTGTCCTTCCTATACTTAATAAACAATCTGGGGGATTGTCTAAAATCAGCAGTCCTTTGCATGTAAAAGGCTAATGCCCTTCTCACATCTAGAGAGTGCAACGCCCTCTCCATGGGAGTCTCAGGATTCTGAAAGAACGCCGGTAGGATTACTTCCTGAGACATGTGGAACCTTGTGGCTACTTTTGGTAGAAACGCTATATCAGTCCGGAGCACCACCTTATCCTTATGAAATTTGAGATAAGGAGGATCTACCCTGAGAGCACACAGCTCACTAGCCCGTCTGGCTGACGTAATAGCTACTAAGAAAGCCACTTTCCACGTCAGGGGGCCCAGCTCTGCTGTAGCCAAGGGTTCAAAAGGAGGTTTCATTAGGGCCGAAAGAACTAGTTCCAAGTTCCAGGAAGGGGCAATTGGGGCCACAGAAGGTCTGATATTCCCTAAGCCCCTCAAAAACCATTTAACCAGGGGGTCCGCAAAACATGACGGTAAACCCGCCTTCCTCCTAAACCATGATATGGCTGCAAGATAACACTTCAGGGAAGAATTGGAAAGCCCTGCATCGTAAAGCGACGATAAGAAGTCCAAAACTGTGGAAATGGGGGCTACCTCTGGTTCTTGACCTCTCGTCCTTGAGAAGTCCCTAAAACGTGCCCATTTAAACAGATATGATCTCTTAGTGGAGGGCCTATGTGCGGCCTCGATAATTTGCCTTACATTCTGCGGGAGACTCAAGATCCTGTCTGCCCCTGGGGCCGAATTAACCAAGCTGTTAGTTTCAACAAATGAACATCCGGGTACAACACCTGGCCCTCCTGAGATGTCAATAGATCGACTCTCTTCTGAAGCCTCATGTGGTTTCCTTCCGACAGCTGTAGCAGAGGGGCAAACCACGGTTGACGAGGCCACCACGGAGTGATCAGGATGCAATACGCGTTGTCCCTTTGTAGTTTTGCTACCACTCTTAGCAGAAGGGGAAA